TTTGTGTCTCATGGGGAAATGGATAAGTAAACAAGATAACAACAGACGTAATTAATGCTAATTTCAAAGGAAGGTACAATAGAAATACAGAAGAGAGATTTAAATCAAATGAGGAGGAGGGTTTCAGGATTTATGACTTACAGGATGAGGGAAAGAGTGTGGAGAAAAATATTCTAGGCAAAGGAGTGACATTCTATTTTCAATTCATTTATTCATCCAGTAAACATTATTTTCTACTAAGTATTGAAGATACTTAGGAACCAGCAGTGAGTAAAATAGGCAAGCTCTCCTTTCTCATAATTCTAATGCTCTAGTAGGGTAGAGAGATTATAATAATTGAAGTAGAAAATTTTTAGGCAGTGATATGTGCTTTAGGAGAATAACAGGAAGGGTAGCAGTGGTGGGTAGGATGAGGGGGCTACATCAGAACAGTGAGTGGGGAAGCCCTCTTCACAGGAGTCATTTATTTATTTATTTATTTTTAAATTTTTTTTTAATAGAGGCATGCTTTATTTATTTGTTTGTTTGTTTATACAAGCACTGGGTACAGTCAGAAGCACGGGAGGGTGAGAGAATTCACCAGAGCCAGAGCAGGGAGCAGAGCAGGCAGAAGGACCGAAGTACATTGCTGAGGGGAGCAGCGGGCGGCAGAAGAGGTCTGCGCGCCATGTGGGACCCTCCTCCGGTGGCCGGGGAGCAGCCGGGGATCGAACCAGCGCCGCAGAGGCCGCGGGCAGCTTCGCAACCCAGCGCTCAACCGCTGCGCCACTGGGGAGGCTCCACCGGAGTCATTTAAAGCTGAAATCTGAATGGCAATTGTGGGAAGCTCGTATCAGGCAGAGAGAGGAAGTGTTATGAAAGTCTGAATGGCGGATTGAACTTCACATTTTGAGTTGGCAAAGAACAGTGTACATTAAGTGTAGGGATGAAAAGAGGTGCAGGAGATGAAATGGTCTGGTACAGGAAAGAAATCTGTATTAGGCTTGAGCATGGTAAGCTTGGAGACCTGCTAGGAGTTCCATATGGCAGAAGTATAGGGATTGTGTTGTTAGGGGATGAAAGCTGAATTGGAAGAGAGGCAGGAAACCAGATTATGACAAGTCTGAGATGGAGCATCTGGGAGACATTTACTTGTGTTTAATATTATGTAAAGAATCCCAAGGAAGCCATGACTGAAGTCATTCAAGGAAAACCTTTCATGTTTATGTCATCAAGGAAGGATTGGTTACCAGTTCTTATTTGTTACTTGTCCTTGATACACAGACTACACCGGTGGTTAGAACCATTACAACTTTTTGCAGGTGTGCCCACAAACTCAGCCTAATGTAAAATTTATTTTGGCGACATTATTTTGGCGACATTATTATTTTGGCAATGATATTCTGACTCTTACCTCTTACTCATAGTGAGATGTAGCTTCCTCCTGTAAAGCAACCTACTCCGTTTACCATTCCAGCAAACATATATTACCATCATACTAAGTATACTCATACATCATACTAAGTATACCATTATACTACTAAGTAGACTTATATATGCCCTGTAGGACAGAAATGATGAAAACCAGATTCTTGTGGAACTGACAATTTTATGAGATGACAGATGTATTCACAAATAAACGTGAAACAATTTATACACGATGTGGTAGGCCAAGGCTGGGCCTACCCAAGAAATGCCCCTCAGTGCTCTTGAATGGATGCAAGTAGGAGGAATGTACTCCAAATGCAGGCAAAGCATGCATGAGTTTCAAGGCCTAGAGCTAGGACATAAAGTCTGGGTGATATTGTTATGGAGTAGCAAAATTATTGTCTTATATATAGTATGCTGTTTTTAGATAATAAAGAGGCTGGGGTTATAAAAGCTATAGTATTATTCTCCCCTGATCTATGGTCATCTCAGTGTGGGTCAAGGCTACTGACTTCAGGTGTGTAATCATCTGAAGAAATGATGCAAGGGAATCAGTGGGAGCTGTGTCCACCAACCTGCATCTTTTTTCTGGTTTGCTTGCTCTGTGTAATTAACTTGCTGCTTCAGTAAAAGCAACCCTGAAATACTGCCCTTTGAACAGGCTGTGTGGCTTGTGGGGACAGAGTAAGTCCACAAGAACATTACAAAAACTGTTGAGAATTTTGAGAACAATTCTAGTTGGAGGCTTCATGAAGGAGGTGGCACAAGAACTAGATTTTGAAAGATGAATAAAATTCAGGATGAAGGGGATTGTAAGAACGCAGAAGAATGTGAATGATAAAATGGAGGCAGGTGACCAGAGCTGGGTGGTGGAAATGAACAGTAGTACACTGTGGCTGAAGAATGGGGTGTGGAATGGTGATGCAGTGAAAGATGAGGCTAGATAGTGAGTCTAAGATATTTATTATTGATAATATATTTATAGTGGGAACCATGGTTTTGAGCATAGAAGCATCTCAATTAGTTAAAAAGGGGATACATAAATAAATCTGGCAGCATTAGCATACATGAAACACTGATGAATACTGGGAAATCCATTAAAATGCCCAGGTATGACATGAAGCTGTGTTTGATTGGAAAAATACACACTGATTTATGTGTTTTATTGCACAGTTGTTTTGAGAAGCACCATAAAAGAGAGGTGAACCGTTTATGAATATGAGATTTTGTATTTTGACATGTGGGAAGATAATACTGTCAACACAGACAGGAGGAGGGAAAAACAGTATTTGTTCTAGAGATGTTGGATTGAGTTTCATGTGGGACCTTCAGGAGGAAATGTGCTACCGGCAGCTGAAAATAAGAGATGGACCTCAGGAGGAGCGGAGAGTGAATCACCTCCACAGGGATGAATCAGTGACTTTGGTCTGTCATAAGCATAGTACACGAACCTAATAACTGGTCATAAATGCATCACAAATGTAATAATCAGCAAGACAAGGAGACCTAGGAGCACCTTGGAAAATAACATACACTGTGATGATTACTATTTATAGCTCATGTTTGTTTTTACCTGCTGTTAAATTCTCAGAAATCAACCCTTATCCCAGGCTGACCTCCTAACTGGCAGCCCGAATTGTTAAAGGACACTTTCTTGTTTAGAGACCTGTGACACTGAATAGCCAGATATTTTCGAGAAAAGGTGAAATACATAAACTGTAGAACTCAGTAGATTCAAGTACACCTTTTTTTCCGGCAGGGGTGGGTGAGATTGAGGGCGGTGGGGGGAGACACACAGCCTTGAACTACAGCTGAATTATAGATATCGATGGTCGCTAAACTATTGATCATTCAGCAACTAAAACCATGTAAATGTTCCCAAGGCTGGATACGGCTGTGCCCGGGCTGGAGACCCGCAGAGAAGCAGGAGAAAGGTTAAGGAACCCGAACCACTGGAGAAAGAGGAGCAAAGTTGATTGCGTAGCTCCCCGCGGGAAGCTGGCTGTCGTCATCGGGAACACCGGCTGCATTGCTCATCACCCGTGACTTTAGTCAATTCCAAGGCGGCGCCGCCCGAAAGCAGGAGAGGGGTCACGAGGCGCGAAGCGAGGCGTCGAACAGCCCGTTAGGCGCCGCGGGCCAACAAGCCCCTCAAGCATACATTTCCCAGAGTTCAGTGCGGCAGCGTAGACACGCTCCCTGGGCGCTCTACGTGCGGCTCGGGATTGGTAGACAGCATCCATGGGCGGCCGGAAGTAGGACTCTGGCAGGGAGGCCTACAGGGATTGGCTAGTGAGCATTCGTGTCCCGCCCACTTATGGTGACGACAGCCGGCGGTCTTGCTACTTAAGGCGTCGTGGCCTCACCCGCCCCGCCTTGGCTCCCGCGCTAGAGAGAAACATGTATCGTTTCCGATCACAGCTCTTCACGGGGATTTTTGCTGCCGCCACCGCCCACTCTTACCCCCGCCGCTTCTCGCCTCTGTTGCTAGCCGAAGACTCGCCTCTTAGCCACCCGCCGCACAGACGCACGAGTAAAAAGTGCAGCTCCATCGGCTGATCCTCGCTAAGCTCCGAGTTTAGGCGGCACCGGGCGTCCCACGATGCCGAAAAATAAGAAGCGGAACACTCCCCACCGCGGTGGCAGTAGTGGCGGCGGCTCAGGGGCAGCTGCAGCGACGGCGGCGACACCAGGTAAAGGGCTATCCCCGCCGCTGGCATCCCGGTTGCCGGCCGGTCTGGCGTGTCGCTTCCCTTTGGGCACGGCGGGAGTTGTAGTTCTTTCCCTTCAGGCGTCCGCATGGGCTGGGCGCCTGGCTAAGCTGTCAAACTACAATTCCCAGCGTGCCCTGGGGGCGCTGCCTCGCGCGATTTAGCGCTCGCTGGCGACCCGCACTCTCGGCACCGGCCTTGGGGGCGGGGTAGGGCAAACGGTCTTGGGCCTGAGAGTGGGTGGGCGTGGGGGTCACGACTGCATGGTGGAGGAGGAGCTGCCCTCAAAGGCGGGTGTTGGCTGCCCCGAGCGCTCCCTCTTGGTGGTTGGGTTGAGTTCCGACTTGGCGTCGGTGTGTCACTGGCCGCCTTTGACACCCCGCCCCACCCTCCCAGGCTCCAACATGGAGCGCTCGGGAATGCCAAACGTCCGGCGGGTACGGGCAGGCTCTTGCGTCACGCAGCCCGGGACTGCGCGCCGGGGCCAGGGTGACGCAGAGGCGCCCATGTGGCATTCCATTCCGCCGCCTTTTTTGCGCGTCCCCAAGTTCACGTGGCTACGTGGAGGCGTCGGCGCCTCGGGGCCGCTGCCCTAGCCCGGGCGCTGCTCCTGCCTCCAGCTGGCACCTGCTTGCTGAAGCCCGGGGTTCCCGGCTCCACTGCGACTCCTGGTCGAGGCGACGACCTCCTCCTCCTCGGGGCAGAAGCCTCATGCCCCTTTGTGCTGCGTTCCGTGAGTTCCCAGCAGTGAAGAGGCTGGAGTGGTGAGGAGCTCGGATGGCAGGAGTTCGCCAAAAGTTTAGTTGAGTTTTTTTTTTTTTTTTTTTTTGATCTGCAAAGTTGAAGCTTTCTATAGGTGGGTAGGTGCTTAGCTGATTCTTTACTTAACCATATGGTTGAGAAAAAAGGACTTAAACAGCGGAAAGTACTAGAAGACATAATTAAACTAAAATCGAGTATTAAAGGAAACCGCATAAATCATCTCTTTTAGTAATAGTTTTCTTGCGACTGTGAAGAGAATATTGGAATATTCGCAGACGTTATTATCACATCGGAATTACTGCTGACTACCTAGTAACACAGTTTCTACGCTGACCCTCAGAATGATGTGCCTTTACTCATTAGAAAATACCTGGGTTAGTTTTCTTGTTAAACATTATTGAAAACTGGCATTTAAAAACTTTCCTGTAGCATCATAGCATGAGAACTTGTGCTCATGCATTAAACATAACTGAAATAGGAATGGATTATTATAAATGCACAGTTTTTCCTTACTAATTTTATTCTCCTCTAAGTTTACCTTTGTTGATAAAATGGAAATAATGGAGAAGCAGTAAGGTAATGTCATTTTCAGAATAGTAATTATATTATTAATGGCCCCCTTGAAGCACAATCAAGCCTTTATTCCCTTCTGAAGCTTCTTGTCTGGCTATCTTCCTTCCTCTGGTACTTAAGAGTAGAACCTGCATTATGGGGGTTGAGGGATGATTGATTTTCATATATCACCTCAGGATTTCATCAGATCTTTCATCAACCTTATTACTGCTGGCTTTTATTATTTGTAAAAGTATATTTAAACACTGAACTTTGTCATATATAAGCAAATGCAAAAGTTTAGTTTGTAAAATACATGCTTTGATTATCTTTGGAAGTTTACAATATAACTTAATCGGTTGCCTCTGGAAAGTTGGGTGTAGGGGTCAGATTTACTTTTTTGCAACTTTGTTTCCATGTGACTGTATTGTTTATTCAATAAATAATAAAGGAGAAAAGGCAGAAAATTGTCATAGACATATACTTGATTGCAAGCCACTTATTGGTAATTCTAAATGACATCTAGAATGAATGGTATACAAATGATTATCTTCATATGTACAACCAAAAGGTAGCCATCTTCTGTCTCTTTAGTGCGCTTTCCATTTAAGCTATTTTTTAATTTAGTGGAGGAAATCCAGGAAGCTAATAAAATTAATCTCATACAAGTATGCGTATGTCATAACACTTATTTGCAGACAGTATTTAAAAAATGTTGAAGACGACATTTTCAGGAAAGAGCGGAACCTTGTTAGTAAGTAAGCTCTCTAAGAAGGACCTTATGTATATAGAGTGACCTCTTAATTAGATCACAGGTGGGTGAGTTTGACCTGATTATACAGGGTTTGGGGGGTTTTTTGTTTTCTTTTTTTAACTTCTTCCAGTTTGGGGAACTACTGAAACTTAGAGAAGGGAGCTGAGTAACATCTTCATGAGATACTTTTCTTGGCAGTGTAGAAATAGAATGAATATAAAAATAAACAATTGACTTAGGAATAGATGTTAGTGTAAATTGACGTATGTGATGTTAGGAAATGTTGACTCTCAACTGTTGGCTGTGATTCCCAATCATGAAAATAAATGAAAGTAGGTCCAGAAATAGAGCATGTTATACATTTTGTTAATACTCTCCTAAGCACTTTGATTAAGACGTTTTGGGATTTTGACTTCATTGAATATTCTTTTATGCATTAGTTCTTTGATTGGGATGGTTTAGTCCCTTTAGGAAATTGGAAGGCTATTTGCTTCCTGAGTTGATTGAAAAATCTATTAAATTCTCCTGTTTGATTTTAAAAAAGAAGACAACCCATTTTTAAAAAATTAACATCAAATTAGAGAATTTTAAAAAACTTACTTTAAGATAGTAAATATCACAAACTTCCTGGACATAGGAAAGTAGTGACACTTAGTGCATTTTTCTATTTTTTTGTAAGGAATCTTGGGCTCAGGGGTAATTCAGGCTATTGAAAGTGACTTGGGCCAGAAATTTGAACTTACTTGAAGTGCTCAGTTTAATTTATGACTTAGGTAATTCTTTTATTAATATGATAAAAGTGACTTTGAATTCATTAAGTTAATGAAGTTGGAAGATTCTAGTCATTTAAAAAAGAGATTTTAGTAATAGCATTGCTATTTTTAATCTGTTGTGTGTGAGAACTTTTTTTTATTAGATTTTTTTTTTTTTTTAAAAAACATGTATACAAGATTTGGAGTGTAGGCCAGATGTGCAGGGTTGGGGGTGGTGGTGTGAGAGAATTCACCAGAGACAGAGTGGGGAGCAGAAGAGGTAGATCTACTGAAATACACTGCTGAGGGGAGCAGCAGGTGAGTCAGGAGAAGCATGCTGCACCATGTGGGTTAACTCCCTGGATGGGGATTGAACTGATACAGCAGGGCTGGCGATAGCTTGATAGTGCTGAGACTTAACCCCTGTGCCACCAGGGAGGCCCATTAGGACCTTTCTTTTAAAAGTAAAATATCTAACAGACTATGCCAAAGACCAGAGTTTGTATTTTAAGCCTTTTTTTCTCAATTCGTTATCTCTTAAACTACCCTATTTACTCCTTAATTCTCCTTCACCTATGAGAAGTGAACCTAAAAACCAGGAAGGTTGTGTGTACAAAGTTATCACTTACTGTTTGCTAAGTGCAGTAATTTTCAGTTTGGAAAATATATTTTTTTCTTACAATAATCTAATGACATCTATTTCTTGATCTATTTTCATTGTTCGTGCTTTGTAGTCATGGTTTGGAAATGTTTATTTCATCTGTAATACTAGTTTTTGATTAAATACCTGTGCCACATGTTAGATGATTATTATAAATAGTTGGTGTTCTGGAATAATAGGTGAATAGACCTAATTTAGAAATATTTAAATGTATTGTTCATAATATAATCATCCCTTTCCCCAAATAAGTTTAGGTTTTTATTACTGGATTTCCCAAGTAAATTTAAAAATTTGCATATATGGCAACAAAGTCATTTATTTTCACCCTTTTTTACCTGATAGGTGGCCAGCATCGAAATGTTCAGCCTTTCAGTGATGAGGATGCATCGATTGAAACAATGAGCCATTGCAGTGGTTATAGTGATCCTTCCAGTTTTGCTGAAGATGGTATGAGTTTTAATTTTAAATTTGCACCTTCATATAAAAGTTTTTTTAAATTTTATTTTTTTAAAGATTTATTTATTTATGCATACAAGAGTTGGGGTACAGGCCAGAGATGTGGGGGGGGGGTGAGAGGATTCACCAGAGACAGAGTGGGGAACAGAACAGTTAGACTAACTGAAATATACTGCTGAGGGGAGGAGTGGGCGAGACAGGAGAGGTCTCCTTTGCCATGTGGGTTTCTCTCTGGCCAGGCAGGGATTAGAGTCGTGCTGCAGGGGTCTGTGGATTGCTTCATAGTGTGGTGCTTAACCCCTTGCGCCACCAGGGAGGCCCAAACAGCTTGTTTTAGGTGAAGGAATCTTATGGCCAAGATATGCTCTCAGTGTTCCCTATCTACTTTCCCCTGCCCCCCCCCCCCAACTTAAATTGTAGCATTGGGTTTGTGTTATTCCTTAGGACCAGAAGTCCTTGATGAGGAAGGAACTCAAGAAGACTTAGAGTACAAATTAAAGGGATTCATTGACCTAACTCTGGACAAGAGGTAAGAAATATTGGGAACTCTTTTCATTTTAGGTGATTTTAATCAACTCCTACTTCTTTATATATTTATATCTACTTACATCTGTATGTCTGATTTAGCAATATGTTTTCTTAAACTTGATTTTTTACTTTATTTTTTTAAGATTTATTTATTTACTTATACAAGCACTGGGTACAGTCAGAAGCATGGGAGGGTAAGAGAATTCACCAGAGCGGGGAACAGAACAGGCCGACTGACGAAATACACTGCTGAGGGGAGCAGCAGGCGTGGCAGGAGAGGTCTGTGTGCCATGTGGGACCCTCGCCTGTTGGCCGGGGATCGAACTGGCGCTGCAGAGGCTGCGGGCAGCTTCGCAGTGCTCAACCACTGCGCCACCAGGGGAGGCCTGATTTTTTTACTTTAGATGATTTAAAGTTTCTTGTTCCTTTGGGCTTTTAGTGTGGGTAGAAACATGCCACTAGAATTTAGATTGACTCAGATCAGTCATTGTTCTAGCACAAAAAACATAACTGTATTGGATTATAATTGGGCTTGTTGAATTAAAAGTTAATCTTCAACTAGAAGGGACAACTAAATTTTTCTTTACGCTTCCTGCCCACTTACTATAGACATGACCAAATATCAAAGTTAAATTGTTTCCAAGCTTCATATTAGCTCTAGAACTGACTGAGAACATGCAATCATGAACCTCTCAACTTTGGTAATGTTAAAATAAAAAAAATGAGTTACAGCTTATCATTGAAACTATAAAACACTGTGTAATCATTTAAAGTTGTAGTTATAAAACTAATAAACAGGAAATTGCTATGTTACAAAGCAAATTAAAATCTTCAGTGTAATAAGGTGAATTATAGATGAAAATTAAATTATTGAAAAATGTCTGGAGCTTGATAACATTTAGATTTTAAAAATCTATAAAGAAAAAATTAAGAGGGAAAACAAGCTAAATTTTTCAATTATTGATTGATGGTACACGCTAACTAGATCTTTCTCTGAAATTTTGCTTTAAATAGTGCGAAGACAAGGCAGGCAGCTCTTGAAGGTATTAAAACTGCACTGGCTTCAAAAATGCTGTATGAGTTTATTCTGGAAAGAAGAATGACTTTAACTGATAGCATTGAACGCTGCCTGAAAAAAGGTAATGTCCTTATTTTTGAGTCATGGGCACAGAACTAATAGGAAATTTGGTACCTTCTTTGCAACTTTTGTTAATGGCACCAGTATACTGGTTCTTTCATAGAACTTTATAATTATAAAGGACTGCACATGCTTGTTAACTCAGTCAGATTTCTTAGAAGCTGTTTATCATTCTAACAGTTTAAAACGAGGTAGGATTGGGATAAATCATCATGTTTTCTATCAGAAAAGGTGACTACTATTCTCTTGTATATAAGAAAGACTTGAAAATTTTTGTTACATGTCAACAAAAGGGCATCTTATTTTTTCTAAAATTGAAAAAGTATAATTATTTCACTCCTTTTCCCTTGTATTTATTTAAACTGTTAGTCATAGTTGTGCATAGCTTTTTTCTCAAGACCTCATAGTCCTTGGAATATTAGAATTCTGGAACTTTGTAATTCTAGGTTTGTAATTCTCTAGGTTCTAGAATTCTGTTGTTAAAATTCTAGAACTTCTAAGAATAGAGAGAGAGGAAGATCTTATGACTTTTCAGTTTTAGTAACCACCAACATTGAAAAGATTTGAATCTGCTGGCTTAATTATTTTGCCAAGTAAGAGTGTTATGAAAATATCTTCGGCTATAATCACTTTATACAAATGTAGGACACACATGTGTTCCTTTCAATTGAATGGACTTAGTTTTGTGTTCCTCATAACATTTGACTCAGGTGAAAGCTTTGTGGTGAATAGGTGTTGGGAAACTTTAAATCTAATCCACCCTCATACAGAATAAAGGTGCAGGAAACATGAGACCTGTCTAAGGTTATGTAACTTGTTAATGGTGTAGTTATAGCAGAGCCAGCATTTTCAAGTTATTACAGTGGCTTTGTTAAAGGTGTTTATATTAAAACTCTCTTGCAAGAGAGAGTTGTAATAGGTGACCTTTAAAAATTCTATTCTGATCTGCATATTTTATAAATACTTAGGTAATAACTTAAGTTCAAATTTTTCCCAAACCCTTTGGTGTCTACAGGTCTCCAAAGAGTTTGTTTATGTTTACCTTTATGTTATTTTCTGTGTTTCTTATGCCATTTTCTGTGATTTTTAAAGAATCCCATGTATTTAAAAGCTTTTAGTGGGGAAAGCCCTTGAAAGTTTAGTTTATCTCAAGGGCTTTGTACATCGGAAATGCTTGGGAGATTTATCCAAGGCATACTGTTCTGTGAATTCTTAAAGTATCTGGCTTGAAACATGTTATTTTGCTGAATGCTTACACTGCTGACTTTAGATAGGTATTAATCTCCATTTTATAGAGGAAGAAATCTGTTTCAAGAATGATAACTCGTTGAAGGTCATAGGGCTAATAAGTGGTGAATCTAGGATGTAGGTGAGGGCTATTTCCAGAGTTTGAGTTCTTTAAACTACACCACAGCCCATGTCAAAGTGTAGGGGTTTCTAAATGGTTGATGCTGTTTTGAAACTTAACAAATTTGGGGACATTGCTACTGTAATTGGTTGGTCTGTTAAAAATAATTTCTCATAGGTGTGTCTTGGCTTATTTTATAGGTAAAAGTGATGAACAGCGTGCAGCTGCAGCTTTAGCATCTGTTCTTTGTATTCAGTTGGGCCCTGGAATTGAAAGTGAAGAGGTTTTAAAAACTCTTGGACCAATCCTAAAGAAAATAATTTGTGATGGAACAGCTAGTATCCAGACTAGGCAAACTGTAAGTGTAAGATTTTAAAATTTATGTATTAATCCAGACATAGCACCCAGACATTCTGATGAATAATTTAGGACAGTAGCATTTTTTGTAAATAAGTTTTTGTTTAACATTTTATTCTCATTTGTCTTTCAGTTCTAGTGAGCACACTTAGTATGGCAACTGTTTTCTTAAATTTTCTGAGACTCCATAAAGCACCCCAGATAGAGCAGATTTCTACATCTTTGAAATTGAAGACCATATACTAATAAGGGGATGATACTGTGTTGAGTTATTTAAGATAATTGTAGAATGATTTTGATTAGAACTTAAATGGTCTAGACATTATTTATAGGATAGTTAATTTTAAGAAATGTAATGGGGGTGTTATTTTAAATTATTGGCAGCTATGGCCTGTAAATCCTCTTGAAGAAACTGAATGCTACATTTACATGGGTGGATTTGATACGTGTAGAAAACTGAAACTTTGACTCGTGAAATTTTCATTTGGTTTGGGGGTTTGGAAATGCTTTTATTCTATAACTGTTTGATATTACTGCTTGTAACACTTGACTTTAGGTTGTGGGATTTGGGGGCGGGGAGGGGTTATAAGTGAGCCCAATGAATATGTTTTGTTTTATGACAGAAGCATATGAAGTGATTTTAATGGATTTGGAAAATGGATTTGAGTCTTTTTTCATTTTAAAGATTTACTTATTTATGCATACAAGAGCTGGGGTGGAGACCAGAGACAGAGTGGGGAGCAGAACAGGCAGATTTATTGAAATACACTGCTGAGGGGAGCAGCTGCGCCATGTGGGTCACCTCCCTGGCTGGGGATCGAACTCATGCTTCAGTGGTTGCGAATAGCTTCATAGTGCTGTGTCTTAACCCCTTGCACCACCAGGGAGGCCCCATGCATTTGAGTCTTAATGGGCCTTAAGAAATTTTTTTTTTAATATTTTAAAAATTATTTATTTATTTGTTTGTTTGTTTGTTTGTTTGTACAAGCACTGGGTAAGGTCAGAAGCGCGGGAGGGTGAGAGAATTCACCAGAACCAGAGAGAGGAGCAGAACAGGCAGAAGGACTGAAGTACACTGCTGAGGGGAGCAGCGGGCGGCAGGAGAGGTCTGTGCGCCATGTGGGACCCTCTCCCAGCAGCCGGGGATCGAACCGGTGCTGCAGAGGCTGCGAGCAGCTTCACAACCCAGCGCTCAACCGCTGTGCCACTGGGGAGGCCCTGGGCCTTAAGAATTTAATCTTACTGGATTTGAATCTCAAGATATTTTCCTAACAAGACAACCAGTTCAAGTTTTACACTTTTTAATACAGATTATCTAATATAGTTTTCTCTTTTAGTATTAATGTTACAGATAACATTAATCTTTGTATCAGTTAAACCCTGAAGTCTTAGTGGCTTAGTAAAAGTTTATTTTGTGCTCATATCACTGCCCAATATAAATTGTCAGAGTCCTTAGGCATCCATCCTGCATCTGTCTTGGCCCTACCTATAGATTCTCTCCATATGTCAGCCATAGTAGATAGATGGAGAAGAGCAAGAGGACAGAGACTCAGACCGGAGTACATCACTTCTGTGCTTTGTGCTTAGGATTTTTAATTCTACGAAAACTGAGAATAGCCTGTTTCCCCTGGATGCCAAAACAAACAGGAGTTTGGTGACTTCATGGGAATCTGGACCCTCTAAGCTATAATAATCCTAAAATATTTAGTTAAAAGTTTTGCTGTTTACCTTTCTTTGTCCTCTTGCCTCCCATTATGGGTAGTCCCATGTACCTTTTAAATCATGTAGGGGCTATACAGGTATTTGCTATTTTTGAAAAAAAACTCTTGGGTAGGTATTTGGTGCAGTCACTTATGGTTTCACAATACTGGATAGAGCTGAAATTTGGGCAGGTGGATGGTGGTGTTAACGTGGGGGCCTCCATGGTGGTGTTAAAGTGGGGGCCTCCCTGGTGGTGCAAGGCTATAAGGCTATTGCCAACCACTGCAGTGTGAGTTTGATTCCTGGCTGCAGACCTCTCCTGTTCCGCCCACTGCCCACCTCAACAATAGAGGGGGCCAGTAGATCTGCCTGTTCTGCTCCTTACTCTGTCTCTGGTGAATTGTCCCCTCACCCCTCCATCCCCCCACACTTCTGGTCTAGAGCTGTTCTTGTATGCATTTAAAAAAATGGTGCTTGGAACAATGTGAGGGAATTTTAGTGACAGCATATGGAGAAAAGGGAAATGTATAAAACAGTACAATCTCACACATTACAAATTCTGTTCTTTATAGAGCAGAGCTCTGTCTTCCATTTATGTTGCAAGCAGATTGTACTTAATAACTGATTGTTTTGTTAGGTAAATTTTAAAATTTTTTAATCTTATTATGTGCTCAATTGTTTATCCCTGTTCCCCCCACTAAAGGAAATTATAGGATACCCAAACTCTTTTCACTATATTCCAAAATAAGTAAAATTTGAATTAATGGATGCTTTCTTTCAGTGGGTAGTTTGAAGACACTTAGATTTTATGAGGCATTTTGCTCCATTGTGCTTACTTTTTGAAAGCGAAGTTTTTTTTTTTGTTGTTGTTGTTAAAGATTTATTTATTTTTGGGGGCCTGGGCCCCAGTGGCGCAGTGGTTGAGCACTGGGTTGCAAAGCTGCCCGCAGCCTCTGCAGCGCCGGTTTGATCCCCAGCCACTGGGTTAGGGCCCCGCGTGGCGTGCAGACTTCTCCTGCTGCCCGCTGCTCCCCTTAGCAGTGTACTTCGTCAGTCTGCCTGTTCTGCTCTCCGCTCTGGCTCTGGTGAATTCTCTCACCCTCCTGTGCTTCTGGCTGTGCCCAGTACTTGTATAAATAAGTAAATAAATCTTTAAAAAAAAAGATTTATTTATTTTTGGGCCTCCCCTGGTGGCGCAGGCGGTTGAGCTCCACGCTGTGAAGCTGTCCACAGCCTCTGTAGTGCCGGTTCCATCCTGGCCGGCTGGCTGGCGAGGGTCCCACATGGCGCAGTGGACCTCTCCTGTTGCACTCGCTGCTCCCCTCAGCAGTGTATTTTGTCATTCTGCCTGTTCTGTTTCCCGCTCTGTCTCTGGTGAATCCTCTTGCCGTCCTGCACATCTGGCCTGTATCCTGGTTCTTGTATAAATAAATAAATCTTTAAAAAAATTTTATTTATTTTTAGGGCCTCCCTGGTGGCTCAAGGGGTTAAGACCCAGACTGTGAGGCTGTCCGCAGCCTCTGCAGTGCAGGTTTGATCCCCGGCCAGGGAGCTACCCACATGGCACAGCAGACCTCTCCTGACTCTGGCTTGTACCCCAGCTCTTGTATGCATAAATAAATAAATCTTAAATTAAAAAAAAGATTTATTTATTTATGCATACAAGAGCTGGGGTACAGGCCAGAGGTATGGAGGGGTGAAAGGATTCACCAGAGATATAGTGGGGAACAGAACAGCAGACTTTGACTGAAATACACTGCCGAAGGGAGCACCAGGAAAGACAGGAGAGGTCTGCTGCACAATGTGGGTCGCTCCCTGGCTGGGGAGCCACTTGTGCCACAGAGGCTGTGGATAGCTTCACTATGGTATGCTTAACCCTTTGAGCCACCAGGGAGGCCCTAGAAGTGAAGTTTTTAAAAAAGTTTTCATACTAGAATACATAAAAACCAACAAATGATTTTATTTTATTTTTAAAAATTATATTTATTTTTTTTAATTTATTTATTTATACAAGCACTGGGTACAGTCAGAAGCGCGGGTGGGTAAGAGAATTCACCAGAGCCAGAGAGGAGAAGAGAACAGGCAGACTGACGAAGTACACTGCTGAGGGGAGCAGTGGGCGGCAGGAGAGGTCTGCGCGCTATGTGGGACCTTGCCCGGCGGCCGGGGATCGAACCAACGTTGCAGAGGCTGTGGGCAGCTTCGCAACCCAGTGCTCAACTGCTGTGTCACCAGGGAAGCCCACAAACAAATGATTTTAAAAGCTTAAGAATCTATGCTGTACTTAATGTGGTTTAAAGATTTTTAATATATTTCTCTCAAATACCCAGACTTTGAGTAGTTTTCTGTATCTTTGAGTTGAAGTACAAAATGGTCTGCTAGATTAATGAAGACCCAAGAGAAACAGAGTAACCTTTCTAGAGTCTTGGTAGTGTGAGTTTGGTAGCAGAGTTGTACCGAAACCTCATTCCCTTAATTCTTTATCGTATAGTCTTTCTCCCTCTACTATGCTTGGGCCCTAATGTTGTAACATGGTTGAGAGAATATATTGAATTAATGAAAGCAGGAAGATAAAGAATTAGCAAGAAAATTACAAACAATAGTCCCTATTTTTCTTTTTATTTTTTAGTGTGCTACTTGCTTTGGTGTTTGCAGTTTTATTGCCACAGATGATATTACTGTAAGTAGAAAATCTTTGATTCCATTTATTTGCACATTCCAAATTTTAGATGATTTTCTATAATACTTCATATTCTTATGTGATAGGAGCTGTACTCAACTCTGGAATGTTTGGAGAATATCTTCACCAAGTCCTATCTCAAAGAGAAAGACACTAATGTTATTTGCAGCACCCCTAATACAGTGCTGCATATCAGCTCACTTCTTGCATGGACATTATTACTGACCATATGCCCAATCAATGAAGTCAAGAAAAAGCTTGAGGTGTATGTATTTTTAGTTTCATGTTTTATAAAAACATTTATTGTCATAATTGGTTATGTTCACATAATAATGACTATTTTTTAGGCACTTCCACAAACTTCCAAGCCTCCTCTCTTCTGATGATGTAAACATGAGAATAGCTGCTGGTGAATCTTTGGCACTTCTGTTTGAATTGGCCAGAGGAATGGACAGTGTAAGTATCTGGGGGAAAAGACTGTATCACAAGGATCTGTATTCTGTTTTCACTTTTACAATTTACAATTAGATGATTAACATGAGAGCATAGCCAGTTGAGAAATAAGTGATTACCCCTCTTGGGAATGGTGATACAATAATTGTAAGAGCATAAAACAATAAGGGTGGTAGAGCAACATTTGAATGTAGTTCTTTATACTTAATTTTTGCTATTTATAGAAGTGAAGCTTAGAAACTGCCTTTACTATTCATGGAGAGAGTTGGGTCCAGTATAATTTGTTTGCATCTGCCTGGAATTCTCAGACATGGTACACATTAAGATAATTCAGACATTGAGGCTCAATAATAAATGTCAGACAAATGGATGAAATATGAATTCAGTGTAGGTTTGGGATCAGAGAAATTTAGATGGTAATAAACATGGCCCATTCCACCAAGATATGTGCTTTGCAGTTCCCTATCCATTGTCCACTTACGGATGTTGGTTACCACAATGTTGCCTGAAAGGTATTGGAGTGTGTGATAGTACCACATCATTTGGTTTGCCTGATACTGTATTTTAGCGCTGAAAGTCTTAATTGCAGGAAAACCCTTGTCTCACGCTAACTGGGACATTCGGTCACCCTGATTTGTGACCTTTGTTGCAAATACTGGGTTACTTATTAGGTGCTTTTTTTTTTTTTTTAAAGATTTATTTATTTATTTATTTATTTATACAAGCACTGGGTACAGTCAGAAGCGCGGGAGGGTGAGAGAATTCACCAGAGCCAGAGTGGGGAGCAGAGCAGGCAGAAGGACCGAAGTACACTGCTGAGGGGAGCAGCGGGCGGCAGGGGAGGTCTGCGCGCCATGTGGGACCCTCCTCCGGTGGCCGGGGAGCAGCCGGGGATCGAACCGGCGCTGCAGAGGCTGCGGGCAGCTTCGCAACCCAGCGCTCAACCGCTGCGCCACCGGGGAGGCCTGAGGTGCTTTTTTATTTAGGGAAAAAGGACTGTATTTGCAGAATAAAAATTTTTCTGTAATTTAAGTTATTTAACAATGAATAATTATAAATAGGATTATTAAATGTTCTGAATTGCCCTATTCCTTCCCTTTTCACTCTAGGCCTATGTTTAAAATGTTTATGCTTTTAAATTTGTATCTGGGAAATATCTTTTCCTGGCCTCCTACTCCTCCTCCCAGCCCTCACTCTGCCCCCTTGTCCCTTGTAAAGGATAGTAGGTAGAAATAGAAAGCAAATTGTTAATGATGTCAAAGTGAATGATTCTTATATGAGAAATTGGACTCAAGTGGCGATCAATTTAGTTTTATCGAGCTAGTTAATGTCTCCTTAACCTCAAGGCATAGATACCAGCTGTCCTAGCTTTTAGTCTTCTGCTCCTCTGGTAATTGCTTTCTTTTTCCTTTGAAATGCATCTTAAAAGTGAAATAATAATGCTCTTTAAATTATAAATGTTGAATTTGTTTAAGCTTATGTAAACATAAATGTATCACCACCCACATATCTTATGTTCTCTGGCTTATGAAATCATATGAAATATCCAGGAGAACTCATCCCAAATATGTTTAATTTTGTCATAGTTCTTGTGCAGGAACAAAAATGAACTAGGTTATAGATCAGAACCTAGAGATTTGCTTGCTATTTTTGCTAAGTAAGGTTTTTGAAAGAATGTCTGGTAATGATGTAGTCACAGGGTGGTCAGCAATTTAAATCAGGTGTTTATGAATACATAGGGTAATTAAAACTAGGGGTTTTGTAGCAAATGTGTGGCACTGAATTATTCAGACTTTTTTGCCAGATTATTCTGTATAGTTATTATTATCCTGGAAATACAGGTTTGTGATAATAATTCTTGAGACATTTAGGGGGGAAAAAAACTAATGAAGACTTGATGATGATTGTTTTTTAAAAATAAGTTGATGGGGGCCTCCCCAGTGGCGCAGGGGTTGAGCACTAGGTTGTGAAGCTGCCCGCAGCCTCTGCAGCGCCGGTTCGATCCCTGGCCGCCAGGCGAGGGTCCCACATGGCGCGCAGACTTCTGCCGCCTACTGCTCCCCTCAGTTGTGTACTTCGTCAGTCAGCCTGTTCTCTTCTCCGCTCTGGCTCTGGTGAATTCTCTCACCTTCCCGTGCTTTTGACTGTACCCAGTGCTTGTATAAATAAATAAATAAATCTTAAAAAAATAAGTTCATGGTCTATTGATAATAGCTGTTGTTCAAAGTTGAAGAATTTAGTGCTCCTTCGTGGGCAGCTCTTTTAGCTTGCTCTGTTCTTTTGCCACATAGCCAAGTGGTTAAGAGTGCACTCTGGTGCTTTGCTGCCTACCTCTAAATCTCTTTTCCACACTTACTCATTGGATGATATTGGGCTGTTTCCTTATGCCTCAGTATCCTTATTTTTTAAATGGAGAGAAAAATAGTTATGAACTCAAGGTTGTTGAGAACACATGGTAGATAATACAGTTTAAGTCATAGTTATTACGATAATTGTTAATTGAATTTTGAGTTTACCTCCCCCTGGCAATAGTCTTCTAACAGATCCTTGGGACAACATGATGTGCTTGCTGACTGAGAAAAATATACCAAAATATAGTCAGAACTTCACCAGTTCTCCCTCTTTAATCCCTACTTACCCTGATATGTAAATTGCTGCGCACATGCACACGCATGCGTTCGCGCACACACATGCATACACACTCCTGTTGTGTGATACTGATTAAATTATTTTCTTGTCATTATTGGCAGAGTACTTATTTGTACCACCAGGAACCCAATTTTCATTTGTCCAACTGTATATAGTTTTACTATATAATTACTTATTCAATCCTATCTAATAAATTGGGCCTTTGGATGCTATTTATGAATATAATTTGTTAAATTTTACATTTTCTTTTTAAAGCCCAAGCACTTACAGAGACATTTTCTCACAATATTTAACATTTATTTTTCCAAGTAACTTAACACCTAACCTAGTGATTCAGACTATAAACTAGATTGCGTTTATCACCTGCTGCTGATAATTATAGCATGTTTTTCAACCTCAGAATTATTGATATATTTGGCTGGATAATTTTTTGTTGTCAAGTGGGGTTACTTTCTTGTGCATTTTAATGTCTAGCACTAGCAGCATCCCTGATCTCTACGCTGTAGATACCAGTATCAGCTCCTTCATCCTCAGGTGTGACAACCAAAAATGTCTCCAAACATAGTCAAATATACCCTGGGGGGCAAGATTGTTGGGAACCACTGATGGTGCCCATTCTTGAGACAAATTAAGGTAATACATAAAGTTTTCTTAGTTCTTGGCTTATTTTTCCATATAAGAAAAGTAGTCAATTAAATGAGTAGAAAAACTTCCAGTGCTTGAAATGTACTTGTTTCAACAAGTAAAACTATTCCTATCCAGTTAAGATGGAATCAAATTTAATGGAATTTAAATAGAGATCAGCATAACTTTTATCTGTTTTAATACCTCAGTAGTTTCTAATTGCTTTACTCAAGATGAGCTCTTAAAGGCTATTGTCTTTACATAACTCACACATAGGAGATTGAATGAAAATATTTGAAGTAAAAAATACACAGACTATAAAATTTACAATGAAATTTAGAATTTTTTTTTTTAAATATATTTTATTTATGCTTACAAGAGACGGGATGTAGGCCAGAGGTGGAGTGTGTGTGTGTGTGTGTGTGTGTGTGTGTATTCAAGACAGAGTGGGGAGCAGAACAGGCAGATCTACTGAAATACATTGCTGAGGGGAACAGTGGGTGAGACAGGAGAGGTCTGCTGTGCCATGTCCATTAGTTCCCTGGCTGGGGATAGCTTCATTGTGTGATCCTTAACTCCTTGCGCCACCAGGGAGGCCTAATGACAACATTTTTATGTACTTTGAAGTTAAAGTGTTGGTATCATAATCTTTTGTTATTCACGACATTAAAAGGATCACCTGTATACTTCTTGAGATTACACAGTTAATACATACTTTAAATAGAATATGTTAAATGGTTATTGCCATTAATGCAAAAAATGTTAAATGGGCATTAATAACTAGAACTGAGGTTGTTCACCTTCTGATTAGTGTCTGTTCCAGTTTAATAAGGTTAATATTAAGGTCAGCTAAACAACTTTGATTCATCTTTCAGTTTTTTTTGCCATTAGTAAAACATAGTAAAGAGGGCCTCCCCAGTGGCGCAGTGGTTGAGCGCTGGGTTGCGAAGCTGCCCACAGCCTCTGCAGCGCCATTTCGATCCCGGCTGCTGGGCGAGGGTCCCACATGGCGCACACACGTCTCCTGCCACCTGCTGCTCCCCTCAGCAGTGTACTTCTTGCCAGTCTGCCTGCTCTGCTCTCCCCTCTGGCTCTGGTGAATTCCCTCACCCTCCTGTGCTGACTGTACCCGGTGCTTGTATAAATAAATAAATCTTTAAAAATAAAATAAAATAAAGCTAATAGCATAAAACCAGATGACATTTACAAAAAACAAACGTAGTAAAGAGATTTCTTAAGAGTGTAGCCACTTAAAACTGTAACAAGGAAGTCTGTAGTCAATTCAAGGTGACAGTAAATCACTATCAAGGTGATAGTAAATTTGTTGCTGCTTCTCATCTTACATGACTTAATCGCTTGAGCTGTGCACCTGATTTATGTACTTTATTGCTTATTGAAAATATTGCCAGTAAATTATGAATTAGGTGGTTTAAAAAAACATTACTGGTAACTTTTACTTTTGGAATTATAATATTTGGAATTCTGGAATGGGTACTTTGGGGACTAAGGTGAGGGGTAGGTTAGGGGGAAGGTGGAGCCAGTGGATAGAAGCTGTTTTGGTATATGTGTGTATCTGACACTTGTTGAACTACTTTGAAATTCCAGTAATGTCTTGAATGGGGTAAGAGCATGGTAAGTGTTTGAATGCATCTGGATATACTTGGAAGAAGAATGTTAATTGTTTGGTGGTAGTGGTATATTGTAGTCAGCATTTCTGGATTAATGTTTTGCGTGGTAACAGCTGCATCTAAACAGCTTGAAGGTTTGTTTGTGTTGCTTTATGCAGTACTGCTGGTTATTTTCCAAGCTGAATTGTTCTCTGTTAGCTTTAGAAAAGATTGGGTATGGGGGAGGGGAACCAACAAACTAAACCATTAAACCAAATTTTTTTTCCTGACCAGGACTTTTTTTACGAAGATATGGAGTCCTTGACGCAGATGCTTAGGGCTTTGGCTACAGATGGAAATAAGCACCGGGCCAAAGTGGACAAGAGAAAGCAGCGCTCTGTGTTCAGGGACATCCTAAGGGCAGTGGAGGTAGGCTTTTTAGTGATGTCATAGCTATTACTCTTTGAAATTAGATTGCTACAAGCTAAACTTTACAATTGGGTTTTTTCTTTATTTAAACTTAGCTTTTGATTAAAATAATTTCCTCATTTTAAGCCTAATGGTTTTAAAAAACATAAAAGACTTTTTTTTTTAAACAATGGAAAATTTAACACTGATGTGTAAAGGTTCTTTTTTGTAGGTTTAAAAAGATAATGTTAGAAATGTATTTCACTTTGGTGTACTTGTCATCATTTATGCAATGGTGCTTAGCATATTTATAGTTAGTGCACCATTTTTTTAAATAAAAGTTACTACCTACTCTTGATACCTTCAAGCGATGACTTTTATGATTTATCTAGGAAAGCTAGGTGCTCAAAACTGAAATAACAAATCCCAGCATTTAATAAGACTACCTAAAACAAAATCATCTGATATTTGACTCCCTTTTATAATCCTCTGTAAAGGACAATAATCTACCTTGCCTCAATTTACCTGAAAAATAAGTTGGTTTAGAAACCTTCACATATTAGAATGCATGGTTGAATTAACCATAGGTTAAGGACAACCTTGCCTTGGAGAATACTGAAGGCATTAACACTTCACAGATATGCTCTGTCCTTGAACCCTCTAATAACCCTATGTGGTATAGGTATGGATAGCCCCAAACATGGAGATTAAATTTCTTGCTAAAGTCATGGGCCAATGAGTGACAAATATGTGTAAGTCTAGAGTTCACCTTCTTTTTGGCTATGGTTATAATTGTCTGCTGAGAGAGAAAGGTTAGATGTGGGGAAGGCATTTGGAGTGGTCTTGCACTATCAAGTTTCATCTTTTTTCTTCTGTCCCAGTAGGCCATCAGCTACTGCCTGGTTATTCTTACATGTTCATGATTCATTAGCAAATGTAACACCCCAGTCTATTTATTTCAAATCACCATTTTGGTGACATCTTTGTCCATTTAGAAAACCTTGTCCTATATGTGACCTTTATTTCCATTTTACTTGGGCCATCCCTCCATGGTTATACTTTGAAATTGTCTTCTGGCAAAATAGTTCCTTCTCTGAGATGTTAAGTACATTATTTCTTATTCTCTTAGTAAATCTATTATTTGACCATGTACTCCTAGTTGATGATTTGTTCCTTTTTCATTTGGTTTGTTAGCCCTCATTACCTTTCCTTTCTTAGATAACTGCTTCTCCTCATTTCCACTGCTGGCTTGTTGGGGGCATCTTGTCTGTTAAACTGGTCTTAAAATCTTCCCTTCCCACCCTGCCCCTAATCCTAGATCAATATAATACTGACTTTTCTTTCAAATATGTGGAAGAATGATTTATCTTTTATCATTATTGAAATTCAAAAACATTCACAACAATGTGTTTTGCCATTAATTATTTTACTTACTGTGCTTTCAAGTCTATCATAGTTAGACAAGTTGTATACCTTTATATATTGAATAGTACTTTTCAGTCTGTTCATAACTCTGGTGTGGACCAGTTTAAACCATATTGTTAATTTCAGCATGTGTATGTCTGTTTAGAAATTTGTGTTTATGTAGACTTTCTTTAGACCATTTTAATTCTTCAAATTCTGGTTCTTCTATTGGTTAGGAACGGGATTTTCCAACAGAAACTGTTAAATTTGGTCCTGAACGAATGTATATTGATTGCTGGGTCAAAAAACATACATATGACACCTTTAAAGAGGTTCTTGGATCAGGAATGCAGTACCATTTGCAGGTAAGTGGGTGACATCCTTCTTTGTGTTTCCTTTTAAATTAGGAGGCAACTTTCAGTGTAACTTATTCAAGTGGCTTTTGAATTCAATTGAATGTGCAGATACAAAATAGTACATTTATATTTGAAAGTAAAATTGAATAATGAAATTGTTACTGTTGGTATAAGTCTGTTGGAGAGCTAGCTATTTTTTCTAGGAAAGCACATAGTTTGTAGCTTTCTTGATTACGAGGCATTAGAAAACAATTTGGTCTCAATGAAAAAGAAAATAAATGATCTAATTCATATTTACAAGTTCCACATAACTTCTGTTAATAAAATTTCACTGTATGTAGTGAAAAAGAACTGATATTCCTGAACCTTAATCACCTTCTCATTTCATCCAAGTCAAATGAATTCCTTCGCAATGTATTTGAACTCGGACCCCCGGTGATGCTTGATGCTGCAACCCTTAAAACGATGAAGATTTCCCGTTTTGAAAGGGTAGGTTTTGTTTTTGTTATCAACAGAACTAAATGAACCAAAGAAAAGCTGGGACTGGGCTCTACCAAGTGACTGGTAGTTTGTGTTTGTGGATTTTTGTTCCTAGTGATGTTTCAGGTAAAATAGCTGCAGAGAAGGCTTCCTGCATTTAAGATGTGAGCAAAGGGGATTAATAGAAATTTTTTTACCCCAGCTATGTTAACATAGAATTGTTTTCATTGTATGTAGAATGTTTTCATACAATTGTTTGTACAATTGTTTTCATTTTTCTCTCCTTTTATTCTATGAAGTTTTTATATTAAGAATATTTAATTTGTGCTTTTTGTACTAGATAACTAAAAAGTAGTACACTTAGTACCACATTCATTTTACAAATAGAGAAACTGAAGTGCTCAGAGTTTATAACATTAAATAGTAATTAATATAATTTTTACTTAATTCAAAAAATATATTTTCATCAGTGAGATAAAATTCACAAACTATTTTAACATACATGATTTGGTGACATCTAGTTTATTCTCGAAGTCAACAGCTACCACCTCAATGTCCAGAACATTTTTATCAACTCAAAAGAAAATTTATACCCATTAAATGTTTATTACTCAATCTTTTTTCCTCCTGGCAAGCACTAATATTTTATCTGTGTCTATGGATATATCTATTTTGGATATTTCATACAGAAATAGAATCATATAACTGACCTTTTGTGTTTGGCTTTTTTTAACTTACTGTAATTATATTAAAGTTTATCCACATGAAGCAGGTATCAGCACTTAAGTCTTTTGTGATGTAACAATGATCCATTGTGTCATGTACTGCAATTGTTCATCCATTCATCAGTTGATGGACATTTGATTTGTTTCTTCTCTGACATTGTGACTAGTACTGTTATGACAATTTGTGTGCAAGATTTTGTTTAAATTAATCTGTTGTCAGGGCCTCCCCGGTGGCGCAGCGGTTGAGCGCTGGGTTGCGAAGCTGCCCGCGGCCTCTGCGGCGCCGGTTTGATCCCCGGCTGCTCCCCGGCCACCGGAGGAGGGTCCCACATGGCGCGCAGACCTTTCCTGCCGCCCGCTGCTCCCCTCAGCAGTGTGCTTCGGTCCTTCTGCCTGCTCTGCTCCCCGCTCTGGCTCTGGTGAATTCTCTCGCCCTCCCGTGCTTCTGACTGTGCCCAGTGCATGTATAAACGAAAAACAAACAAACAAATAAATAATAAATAAATAAAAAACATGCCTCTATAAAAAAAAAAAAAAAAGTTAATAAAAAAAAAAAAAAAATAAATTAATCTGTTGTCAGTTATTGTAGGAGAAGAATTGCTGGGCTGTGTGGTAATTCCAGATCATTTTTTAAGGATCTGCCAAACTGTTATCTACAGAGAACACACTATTTTACATTCCTAATAGCAGTGCTATATCCTTAGCAACATGTTATTTCTTCTTTTAGTTTTCATCTTAAATTATAGCCTTCATAATGGGTATGAAGTGCTTAACTACATTTTTATAGAGTATAATCATTTTTATGACCATATAAATGATTATTGGGTATTTTAAAACTTTTTAATAAATACAATGCTTTCACATACCTTTGAGTTATTTTTTAGAAGAAATCCCTGCATGGGAATATAGGGCTAGAGTTTTACCTTTTTGATTTGTATTGTCAAATTATTTCCAAAGCTTTTCTATCATTTTTAACTGTTTTTAAAAGCAGTGAATAAAAGCATATAGCTTTTGCGCACATACTTTACAGCATACAGTTTTATAATTTGAAAATACGTTTAATTAATATTAAACTGGAGTCTTACCCATTTTTTCCTTGTTATATTAACAGCAGAGTCATGTTTTATTCACATGATTTGTCTTTTTTTCCTTGAACAGATTAAATATTGACCTTTTACTTTTTTTTAATTGGAATTTTCCTGGTACCCCATATGGTTGATGGATACTTTTTTCAATGTAGAATACCTACTAATTATGTTAATTTTCCCCTCATTCTTTGTGTTTGTGTGTTTTATAGACAAAATATTTAGAGTCAAATTAGTTCACTTCTTTCCTTTGTGATTTTTATTTTATTTTACAAGAATATCTTAAGCCTGTGTAGCTCTCACATGTATTTTTCTTTTCTTCCTTTCAGCATTTGTATAATTCTGCAGCCTTCAAAGCCCGAACAAAAGCTCGAAGCAAATGTCGAGATAAGAGAGCAGATGTAGGAGAATTCTTTTAGATTTCTGTACTTAAAGGCTACTTTCTAATTTCTATTTTATTTTTCTTGTAATTTCTAATGTATTTAAACTCTAGAGACAATTTTCTCTCATGTCAACATAGATAGCTTTTGTAGCTGAGGTTGATAATTGCTTATAATTTAATGTATAGTATTGCAAATGGAGAGTTTTGATTATTGAATATTCTTTGTGAATATAATCAAACATGAATAAAATGTAATGTTTGGTCATTTTCTATTTATGAGGAGAACAGAAATACGGTAATTCACTTGATTTCATGATGAGAAGAATTATTAACCAAGGTTAAATTTCTCATGCTGTGGTTATCAGAAATATTGATTAAATGATATAGATGTATAAGGTATTAAACTGAAGGTCTTAAAGAAAAGAGTTCTGGATACAATTTTGGGAGCTAAGTCTGGAAAAGCTGCTATATTTTAAATGAACTCTAATTTTAATTTTGTCACTGGGATCAATAAAGGGAATTATACCATGACATCTTAACTGCTGGCCTTTCATTCCAATTTCTGGGAGTTCATGATGAATTAACATATGTCAGAAATGTTGCTGACCTTCACTGCAGAGCAGGAGCACTGATTTTATCTGCTGTGTAAGACCTTGTACACTTTACTTTGAAATAAAGATCTTTTCACACTAAAAATGCTGCTGCTTTTCTAATAGAAGAAACATTCATGCATTTGAGGTACAGAGTGATCAAGTGAGCAAGCTGGGTAAGGAAAGAGTACAACAAAACAGTTTATGTGAAAACATGGAAATGGGTGAAAAAATGTAATTACTGGGTTTCCAGTTACTGTTAAGCCTTGCTTGGTTGCCACTGTGAGGTGGTTCTTCACCTTATGAAAAGTTGTAAGCATTTTGACACTGCGTTAGGATTGTATTTGTTAAGGTTTATATTAAAATTATATTGCCCAAGTCACATCTGCTGTTTAGAATTCATAGATTGGTATTTTAAAGGCACAGAACAGTGATAAAAGTGGTGTGAGGGGTGGGGAAACATGTATGCTGTCTAAGTACCCAAATCATTAAAGGTATTTTCCCCAAACTAGCATTCTTTCTTGCTCACACCCTAACAACTTCTGGAAGACTTAATGTGCCCCTTTTGTTGGCTTATTGAGCAGCATTCCCTGTGAGTGGGAACTGGGAATTCAGGACTTGGATTTGCATGTTGTCAGCTCTGTATTCTAAGTAGGTTAGGGCCATGGAAAAGAGAATGCAAATACTGTATCTCCCCAAGTTTTCAATTTTGTATACATATTTTAAAGCAAAACTTTTATTTATTAAAGACTTCTAAGGAAAAACAACTTGCTCTTCCATCTATTCCAGGCCTCAGTTCCATTGCAGGAGGGATCCCAGTCTTTGTTTTTTTTCCTGGCATCTGAGTTTCAATTGTATATAGCTATTTCTTAGTTTCCTATTTTTGACATATGGTGATTTTTTTTGTTGGACAGGCGAAAAGTTTATGTCTTTTTGCTTTCCCAAACCTCATCGTCCCCTTTTGTACTTTGTTAAAGCGACATCACTCTATTATAGTGACCTTATTTCCATGTTCATTTCTGAGCTAGCTTACTCTTCATTTCTGTATTCTTGCAGTGTTTTGTACTGGGGTTAATAACTTACTGCTTGATTGTTAAATATACATCACTAGTTCTCAAATAGTCCCAAATAAATTTGTAAAACTTTAAATTTATTTCCCATATGATCAAAGTCTAGCAGAATATTTGGTTCTAGATTGACTTCTCTCACCCAACATATATCTGTGTACTGAGTCTTCATCTTGGGGTTTGTTTTCCCCTCTCTTGAGTTGGATCCCACATGTGTTGGGCTGGGAGATCCCATGTCTTCATTATTAGCTTCTTGTTAAAGCGAAACACTTAGTAGCTCTGGGAATGAGTTCATGAGAGGTCCAATTATTTTATATATTTGAAGTGTAGCTTGACTTGGTATGTAAAATTCTAGTAAATAAACTTGAAATTTGGAAGTGTAAGTTTGAGATACACAGCTTTTATTTCTTAATTGTTTTTCTTTGCTCTTGACATTTCTATTTCCAGTGTGCTGAAATTGTGTGATACTGTGGTTAGATAGGGTCTGGCAATCTGGAAAATATTTTTAAATATATGTCTCACCATTTCCATACTTTGTTTTGGAGCTCCATGAGATATTTAGACCAGCAAATGGAGTCTCTGACTTGATTTCTTATTCATTTCTTTTTCTTTCTGAGAAATTTCTGTAGTACAGTTTTCCACTCTTAGTATTGTATTTTGTTGTTGGCTAACATTAAATTACCTACTGTGGGGCCCCCCTGGTTGCGCAAGGGGTTAAGACGCAACCTATGAAGTGGCTGTTTGCAGCCACTGCAGCACAAATTCTATCCCGGCCAGCCAGGGAGCAACCCACATGGCGCAGCAGACCTCTCCTGTCTCGCCCGCTGCTCCCCTCAGCAGTGTATTTCAGTCTGTTCTGTTGCCTACTCTGTCTCAGGTGAGACATACACGCCCCCCTATCCCTGGCCTGTACCCCAGCTCTTGTATGTATAAATAAATCTTAAAAAAAAAAAACCTACCTACTGTATTTAGCTCTGTTTCACTGAGCTAAAGTCCTGATCTTGCCTGAATTCTGCAGTGTCAGTTGCTTCACTCCTCAGTGATAATCACATGGAGATCTGCAAAAGCAGGCTCCAACCAGTATCTCCTTACCAATATATCTCCTTATATTTATTGAAATCTTGATCAGTTTTTCCTCTTATTAACATTTTTGTCATTTTCTTATTTTGCCTTTTTCCTTGGGTTTTTGAAAAAGAGTAGATTAAGTTAATCTGCATATTAAATGTGTTGCCTTTTCATAAAATTGAGAGGTAAGTGCTAGACAAGGACTACTGGGAACGCAATTTAAGAATCCTTGCATTTCCTTGAATGTAAAGTAGTGTGTAATTTACCAATTCATTGCTTGATTCTGGTTAACCTTTCTGATTGGAAAGAATTTAAATGGTACCTGTCTAATAAATTCTTTATTTTGAGGCTCAGTCATTAATTTTGAAGCAGTCAGCATGAGTGACTCAAGTGTTTGAAGATATTTACTGAATTCCCTGGGAGTTGAATCTAGATATGTGAGTTAAATTATTTGTGAGAAAAAACAAGAATACTTGAAAATGTCCCCAGATTAGGCAATTCATTTGAGAATACAGGTATCACCCACTTTTATACCATTTTTGCTTTTATGGAAGACCTACATTAGTACTTGTTTTTGCTAAGCAAAAAAAAAAAAAAAAAAGGATTTTTGCTTTTATGATAAAAATGAAAAGCAAAATAGCATTTCACTTTTATTTTGCAGCAACCATGCTAGAGGCGTGTGCACCCTGAGCAGTGAGAGTCACCTTCTGTCTCCTTCCCCAGGAACTACTTTCACAGGCAAAGTATTTTATCATTCCTGCTTTTATTACATGTGTTTTTTTCAGTTTTGTGGATCACTTGGTATTATTTGATGGATTCTCTTGGGGATCTAGGGATGCTAAAAATGTTCATATACATTGATGGCAGGCATTTCTTTGCTTTATGCCATTTCAATATATGAATGTTTCATAGGAATGCTCTACTTTTGGATAGTGGGAAAAACCTGCACCCATTTTCCTGTGACTTGATATGATTTTTCAGGTACATAACAGAGAAAATATTCAGTGATTTTCCAGAAATTTAACTGATCACAATCCATAGAGAAATTTCATCTCCCTCACAGTAAAATACGGTTGAATTCTGATGTTGGTGTGAAGTTTGGGTTCAAATCTCAGCTATGTCACAACCCATATATCCCTGCACAATGAAATTTCTTAGTCTGTTTTCCTCATCCCTGAGGGGGATTAATACTTCACAGGATTATAAAGTTATAGAACAGAAAAAAGGACAATAAATACGCAAAATACAAGGCTAATCTATTTCATCAAAGGATAGGTAGTTTAAGACAGTCAAGAAGTTGGAAGATTAATCTTTTAAGGACTGAGCCTGGCAATTAAAAGTAACAAACATTTTCTTTTTGTTAGAGAAATTTGGTATATTATGTGCTTCTGAGAAAACAGCGGCTAGTTATATTGTCTTCCTACATGAGTTGGTCTCTATGTTTTGTTTTTTTTTTTTTAAAGATTTATTTATGCATATAAGAGCTGGGGGATAGGCCAGAGGCATGGGGGTGGGGGGTGGTGAGAGGATTCACCAGAGACAGAGTGGGGCACAGAACAAGCAGATTGACTGAAATACACTGCTGAGGGGAGCAATGTGCAAGTCAGGAGAGGTCTGCTGTCCATGTGGCTTGCTCCCTCGCTGGCAGGCTGGGGAATTGACCTCATGCTGCAGTGGCTGCGGACAGCTTCACAGGTTGTGTCTTAACCCCTTGCCCCATCAGGGAGGCCCGAGTTGGCCTATATGTACAGAGGAAGCTTAAAATGTCCTTTTCCTCAAAAGTAGAGTGGGATCTATAATGAATACAGATGTAAAGGAAATTCCGTGAAGCAAACATTTTCTAATTGATATGCATTGTTTCAAGGATGAATAATGTCTACCTAGTTACGGCAGTGGAAAGCAGAATGATTATACAGGATGGCAGTTCACTGTATCCCCTAACCCTCAGTATCCTGAGAGATTTAGTCCCTTCTGTTATATCCCTGGATCCTTGATCCAGGGCTTGTGGGATTGCAGGTCTCCTCTTCACTGTAGCATCTTTTATGGACACCAGAGGGCAGGAGCTCCTTGATATGTATAAGAGGGAACCACAAAAGAGAAAGGCTGACATTCCTGAGGAAAGAAGGATGAATGAAAGCCCACAGAATAAAGTCTTTGGCGTGGAAAGATGAGATGTTGATGAGACAAAGTATGTATATCTTTTGTAATGGGCTACAGTCATGCAATATGTTTTTCTGGGGATTTCCCCCACAATTTGTTATTTTTTTTTTTAGTAGCTACTGGTACTTTTTTTGGTAGGTAGGAGTCCTACAATCACCATCACCCTAGTTTAATGATTTATTCTGTCCATGATTATTGCAGTCCTCTGGCTGGTCTGGAAACCTGTGCAAGTTAGTTGTCAGAGTGGCAACTCCTACTGCTACAGAATAGTTATATATGGGAGCATTGCAGGCATAGGGCTAGAAATGTGTCAGCTTACACAGTCATGTCAGCCAAATAAGGGCATTGACTTCCATCCAATAGGAACCTCATCAGTTAACATTTGAATCGAGGCAAGGTGTTTTTTTTTTTTTTTTTTTTCTTGTTAAAGTATAGTTTCAAAATATACTTACTAAATATCTTAGCCATTATGGAAAAAGTCAGTATTTGGAATCTTACATGGCTTGGGCAAATTAACACTAAATATAGACCAACAGTTTCACGCTGGGGTTTCTGAGCTTTGTAGGAGCAGCCGTGTGCTGAAGGGAGACAAAGAAAGAACTACAGAATTTGTAGAAGGTTTTATTGTAGTTGTTTCTGAAAATTGGGTTTTTTTTTTCTTCCTGATAACCTAGCAGTCAAAGCTCACATTGTAAGTAATTTGCATGCTATTGCTCTCCTGAATTACGATTTTTAAGATAGGGACTTTTTTTGTTGCATGTGCACTGTGCTTTTAAATTTTGATAGAAATGATTTAAACTGGATTTAAAAATTAACTCCTGAATGTGAAAAGGCACTGACTCTGAAATGAAATTAAAGAACAAATTGCTATGACTCACTCAATAAGCTTCCTGTTAGCTTTACATTAAGCCCTATTATAATGATGCTTATTTTGTAGTTAGCAGTAGTATGGTAAGAATTCTTTCTATAGTTTCATACCAGGCTTCTATGGGTAAAATAAAGAGCAAAGCATTTTTTCATGGACAACCATTTTTCAGAATATTTATTTATAGGTAGCTAAATAATTCTTAAGTGATAAAAAGAATCAGCTGCTAGCATTGATCTAAACCAGAGGAAAATGGAATTACTTACATTTCAGCTCAAGGTATTAGGTTCTCTTAAAAGGATGTGGCTTTAGTCAATCTTAATGAGCAAATTTGCACCAGAGTTGGAAAGACGGGTTGAGTTAGTGTGATAGAGAATTTAGTAACACTCTGGCCTCTCTAGCCTTGCTGGCTCTACCCAGATGCCCTCATAAGGAAACACCAAAGATAGCAACAACTGGGTGTCAAACAGCTGTGGGTCCTGGTTTTAGGGCCATGTGATCTAGTATCCATTTTCTCACAGCGTCATTTGCAGGCTCTTGAACCACACCCAGCCCAGTTTTCTCTATTCTTTATTTTCCATTTGCATGCTTTACTTCCTTTTAAAATACACTGAAATAGCATCATTCACACCTCACTTTATCCTAAAAGAAGAAATTGTCTTTCAGAGCACTTCATGGCTCACTATAAGCGTTGTCTTAGTGCTTTGGGATGCTGCTTTGAGTCACCTTTTGAGTCAGTAGCAAGGCCAGTAATTTGGAGATTTTATTAGCTGCGTTGCTCTTAAGTCAGTTTTGTGGCTATGATTTTCTAGCTTGTCCTCTATTTTGTAAATGTTGATTAAGCCTTAGTATGAGATTTAAGCAACAGTAATTACATTCCTAAAGAGGAAGCTAAGGCTCAAAGATATTAAGTCAGAGATCCAAAAATGAACCATGTATCAGTCATCACGCCCTAAATAGAAGTCGTGTTTGGAAGGATGTACATGACACAATCTTTATTCCTCATCAAACATAGTATTTGGAATAATAAACTATAGAGATGACAGAGTATTTCTAGAGGGATAATTTAGAAATCTATAACCATCTAACAAGCAAAAATTTTGGGCCTTTTTGTTATCTGCACAAAGAGAAGATTTGGTTGACCTCAGAGGCCCCCTTTTCTCTCTACCAGTGGCTACTTATTCGTCATTCCCTTAGGAATGCTCCATGAAGTATAGTTGGAATTCAGAAATACCATTGTCTAAAGTGCTTCAGTAGTTTAGTGCTTTAGTATCCTATCTAAAATTCCCTGGGATTATGTGTTCTTAAATAAAATTTCAGGATAACTGAAAGAGCATTTTTGGCTTTTAACTTTGAAAAAAATTAAGTGACTTTTGCACTTAACTGTTTTTCTTAGCGAGGATTCTAGAAGCACTTTTTTTTAAAAATAAGGAGTTTTTAGATCACTAGGAAATTTCTGAAATTTAATGTTTTAGAGTACAGTTTGAGCTGCTTAGTAAAGGGCTGGTACCTTTTTCTCAGATTTTCTACAGTGTATAAATCATTTCCCACCCCCCGACCCCCCCACCCCGGATTTGATTCCTCCCAATTCTATTATATTTATTTTCATTCTGTATCTAAGTGTTAAAGGAAAAAGGAAAGGAAAGTAGGAAGTAAATAGTGTTCCCTTCTTTAGATGGGCATGATGCTTTGACTCCAGACAGATAACACAAGATTTTACCCTCAGTTTTATTTTGGTTGGTATACTTATTATTAACTGCCTCAATTTTTTTTTTTTGAAAACAGATTTAAATCCTAAAGAAAATATCTTAAATCTTCCAACTTAGCATAAGTCTCTGACTTCTAAATCTGGCACCCCTACGGGGTTTTCAGTCTATGGGCAAGTCAAAAGCGTCAGCAAATGAATGCAACATGTATTATAGATGTTTGGATAGAAGAATGTACCAAATCCAGAAAGGTACAAAGGAGAGATAGGCTGATTGAGCTGCGTCTAGAAAGAGGATTAGGAAGAAGTGGAGAAGGAAGTAGCATGAGGGAACTCTGAAGCCAGGCTCCTGCTCTGCTATTAGCAAAATATATGACCATAGACATTTTCCTTCTGAGATTCAGTGTCCTCATTCATGGACAGAATAGGGACTAGTCTAGAGCATGTCTGATATCCTTTCTAGATCAAAAAATCTATATCACTATTAGACTTATTTTATGAAAATAGATAACATCGAAAGAGAAGACTTTTATAGTAATCAGAATTTGTCTTTTAAGAGTCTTTTTAAACATAATTAAAAGGTCACACGTTTTCTATTGCACTGGAGCAATATCTTAAAATAGACCTTTAGCCCATTCAGACCTTTTAGTGTTGCTCAAAGTAGTGCTGTCATTAGAGAACATTACCTTAAATATAAGGCTCAACTTTAAAATTATTTATTTTGTATGTGACCCGTATCTAAGGAAACTTGGGCAGAAGACTACAGAGATCCTGGAGTCCAGTCTGAAACTGGCTGTAGGTTTCCTCTTTGTAGCATCTAAACTTGCTATGATTTTTATCTTGCGGGTTCACAGTCAGCATCTTAAGAAAGGGGCTCATATACCATATTGAATAAGATATAAAAATTACAGTTTTGGGGCCTCCCTTGTGGTGCAAAGGGTTAAGACGAAACCTATGAAGCTTCCACAGCCTCTGCAGCATTAGTTCAATCCCCCCCAGCAGGCCAGGGAGCAACCCACATGGTGCAGCAGACCTCTCCTGACTTGCCCACTGCTCGCCTCAGCAGTGTACTTCGGTCAATCTGCCTGTTCTGTTCCCCACTTTGTCTCCGGTGAATCCTCTCACCCCCGCCCCAACCTCTGACCTGTTCCTCAGCTCTTGTATGTATAAATAAATAAATCTTTAAAAAAAATTACAGTTTTGTATTACAGCTTCATGCAATTAGAATGGTTTATAGTAATATTCCCTTCTCAGAATTGTTATGACCACAGTCTGACTAGCTTAATTTTATCTTTTCATGTGTATATAGATAAACTTGCAGAAAGAATTTGAGGCATCTTGCCAGAATAGAACAAAGTAATGAGAGAGGAAAAATTCAAAAGCAATTACAAAATAAAAAGCAGGGCCAGGGAAAACAGGGCAGAATTGAGGGATCTAAGGCTGGGGGAAGAGTGTATGCAGATAAGTGGGGTATAAAGCACTGTGCAGTTCTTATACTTGGGCCACATGTTTGACTCTGAGCTTCCTGGCAAGCAAAGCAAAAAGGATAAGTACAAAGTTGCCCCTAGAAGAAAATATTTTCTTCCTGACAAAGTTTTTCTAGACATTTTCAGTTGAAAATATATTTATGTATGCTTCTTTGTATGTCTGACCAGCTGCTTGCATGCTGTGATGCTTATAAAGTTTAACTTCCCAGTGAAGTCTCCTGTGTCTAATGTCAGTGCTTTCTTCTAGGCACAATGAATCTTTCCCAGGACACTGGCTCTGGTGGCATTCATGAAGAGAGGAAACTTTATGTTGTGGATTCCATAAATGATTTACACAAGCTAAACCTCTGTCCTGCTGGACCGCAGCATCATTTCCGTATGTGTCCTCTCAGGCTTGGGGCCCTCCCCAGCTTCCAGGCCATCTGAAAATAGCAAATGCTGATCTGGGGGTGTGGGTATGGTGGGCACTAGGAATAACTCAGTCCTGGAAATACTATTCATTATCAGGCAAGTTCTGCTTTTGTTCGAAAAATACTTGATGGGCTTATGGACTTTTTTGGTTCATAAGCAAGATTTGAACTCTTGTTTTCAAGAGTTCTAACAAGGCTCTCCCTAGAAAAGATCGGAGGTCGCAGAGCTCATCTCCCAGAGACTTGCTTCTCCCTTTTGACAGCTCTTGTGTAGCAGCCAATCACCAAAGGAGTCTGCTTTCCTAGAGGAGTCTTACTTCCTAGTGGGTTGCTAAGGAGATGTTCTACACATTCCAGTTTTAAAAAACTATTAAAATGTTGTGTAGCAAAACTTTATTTTCAATTAAAAAATGACAAATTGCCCCAATTAAAGGATTATAAAAAGGAGGGGAAAAGAAAATAAAATCTGCTAAGTACTAAATTTGTATCTTGTCCCCTAATTATAAATTAGTTCTATAGATCAGCCTGAACACTGACATTCTCATGCAAATGTTCATCGCTCATTGCCATTGTTCATATGCACGCTAAACTCATTTGTCCTAATCTTATTCTTCCTGTTTTTTCATATTTCAACAAATATATTCATTTTTTTAAAAATTGACATAGTATTGGTTTACAGCACTGTATATGAGTCAGATATAAGGGACCACATCCATTTTTTTTATTATTATCCTTCTAAAGCCTTTCTGAATTTTTGGGTTTTTTCTTCACTTTAATGTGTTCAGATTTTCACCCATTGTTTTTACATTTCAGTCTCAAGAAAAGTAGGTATTTTGGTGCTGGATTATATCATTGCTCTATTCAGGAAGTAAGAGCTGTTGAGAGGGGGTAACATAAGATATACTTACAAGGCACGGGACATAAGCCTCTCAGCTGTCCACTATCAAGTGGCGTGGTGTGTGGAACTGGGGAAAACTGGAGGTAATGAGAAAAGTAATTCAACTATTTCTATTACCCCAAAGTCCTGCATTTCTTATTCAACTTAACTTGGGTGTTATTAGGCCAATAGAATTCACAAAATAATGACCAAATGCAGACAGTTTATAGTTTGGGTGAAACAAGTCGTTTTATAAACTTGTCTGCATTCTCAGTTCAACAGCAAATCATTTCTAAGAACGGGATTGGAGAAAGTTACTTCACTGGTGTTGACCAGAAAGTCCATATTGACTAGTTAAGACTGTATTTCTGGGACGTGTTGAAACTGAAGCGGAGTCGAAACTGAGGTTAGGTATCAAGTCTTGGTGGGCTTAGCACAAGCAGCTCCATTTTGTCCAGTCATTTTCTTTTTAACAATACAAAAATAATTCATGGCCATTTTGTTTGTCTACATGGATGTAGGCATAACTGACTAATTCCGATAGCAAAAGGAGTTTCCTGGGAGATACCTCAGAGCTTTCAGCCTGCTGTACAGAGTTGGTGTCCCACTGTCAGTGGTGTTTACTCCTGGGTGACCCTGGGAAAAGGCAATAGAGCTTCTATCACTGAACACTTAATTTCTTTATTCGCCATGTCCTGCTGCTTCAGTATTAATACCCATCCTCAGAAAACTTTCCAATCAGGGGGAAGGAGATAGCTTAACCCTGCGTGTTCTTCAAATACCAGTATAAGGAAGGTAAGCAATTCCTGGTCCAAAGACATTCAAAGATGGCAGTCACTTTCAATGGTGGTGAGAGGGAAGATAGCAGTGGAGGCTCTTCATTTCCGCTGACCAGTTGTGTGCTGAGGATTGGTGTTATTGTTCCTTTCACATTACCTCTAGCGGAGAAGATCCCAGGCTTTGGCACTAACTCAAGAAATGGAAGTCGCAGTCTGTTTCTTATGGGGCTGATAATTGTGCTGATAGTCAGCCTGGCCCTGGTTACCTTCGTGATAGTTCTAGTAGGTAAGTACCACCTCTTTGTTTTTCATTCCTTGTATGCACTTTCTTATTACTTTGTTCCTTTGTAACCAGGTATGTTTTCTGGCATAAAATACTTATGCTGAAGAACAAGGAGAGGCAGCACCTAGCCAAGCCCTGTTCCTCTGGGATAGGGTCACTGGGCACAGTCCCACGACATAAGGCCCGACTGCTGAGGTTCACAAACACTGACATTAACCATTTCTCTAATGCTTTTCCATTTGGAGGCCCAGTCAGTAGCTTCTTCTAATTAATTCTAGGTTACCTTAACCCAATACTCAGTTTTCTCTGGTTTACAACAGGTTTCTAACAAACAGCCACAATCAGGTTTGAGCTCCTTTCCAGGTTTTCTCACTTTCCGGGAATCACAAGTGCTGTGGGCGGTGCAAGGCGCTTGGCTTTGTTGGGGAGGTGACCAGTCTGGCTCCTTTCCTGTCTGGCACTGCCCAAGCTGGCGTCTTGCTTCTCATATAAGCTGTCCTGCTTGCTCTTGGCCTGGACTAGGTATGTCGTGCCCTTGAGCAGTGATCCAGGCTTCCTCTTCTTTTCAGTCAAGAAACCCTTGAGGTCTCAGGGCCTCCCTCCTATCTGTCTTGGATGGGGGAGAGCCCTTCCAGTCAAGACTGCCCCCTTCTGTCGAGCCCAACAATTTTCTTTTTTTCTTTCTTTCTTTTTTTTAAAGATTTATTTATTTGTGCATACAAGAACTGGGGTACAGGCCAGAGGTACAGTGGGGTTGGGTGAGAGAGTGGGGAACAGAACAGGCAGAGCTACTGAAATACACTGCTGAGGGAGAGGTCTGCTGCGACATGGGGGTAGCTCCCTGGCTGCCGGGGATCAAACTCGTGCTGCAGAGACTGTGGATATTTTCACTGTTCTGTGCTTAACCCTTGTGCCACTAGGTCTGAGCCCGACAATTTTCTATTTCAGCTAACCCCTGCCTATCATCATCTGAAATTATTTCAATTTCCTCGATCTCCCCTACCTGCCAATCCTTTCTGACCTGCCTTAAGAGTAGAAAGAACCCAAGAGCAGGCAGTCATTTTTGAACCCTTTTGCTTAGATCCAATACTCAGATTTCTCTACTCTTTCATGCTTTGCAGCACTTGTAGCCATCAAATATCCTCAATGGGAAATGGAGCCCATTAAATGCTCTAATTTGAGTCATTTGGGACCAGAGGAGGTAGAGGAGGTGATGATGGGAGGAAAGGATGAGAAAAAGGCTTGACTTTATAGCTCTCACCTTTTTACTCCTGCAAATTCCTTCCTCTTTCTGTCTTGAAGTTCTTTAATCTGAGTGTTGGGCTGGTGGGAAGGAATGATGTTTAATTCCTTCTCTCTCACCCAACTGACTCATTTGCACTTAAAAGTCACAGAGGGAACTAGGCTTATAATAATGTCTCTTGTATCTGTCAACTGAAGGAGGGTCGACCCTGAACCTGCAGGGCCAGAAAGAGCACACGCATTACTATTCTGAAATGTTATACCGACATAAATTGATGCTCCAAATATCACTCTGCCACACCCATCTGGGGCAGTGATTGAGTTAAACTATTAGGAAATATTAGGTATGATTACAGATGTAGGAGCAACCCAAAAGAACTTCTCTTTTATGTGGGATGATAATAAAATTAAGGGTAATGAAAAATTGTCAAATGCCATACATTGAGTCCTTGCTCTGTTCCAGGCACTGTGCTGAGCACTTGATGTCTGTTAGCTCACGACCTCATAATCAATCTGTAGTGAAGGATCTATTATTATGGTTTTACTGATATTGAAACTGAGGGTTAGCGATTTAGTAACGTACCCAAAGACACAGCTAATTGTACAGAATCAAGAATCAAAGACACACTTGGCTGACTTCAAATACCCTGTACTTTATCACTATTGTACTCCTCTTGTATAAAATAGGATTTATTTTATATTTGCTTCTAGTGGTTTATATAAAAAAGCAAAATTGTATTAAGATACAGAAAGAGAATATGAATACAGAAGAATATATTTTTACTGAATAATTACTCTGTGTCAGACACACTAAATTAATTATCTTAAATCTTTACCCCAAAGGTAGTATTTCTCTTTTACTGATGAAAGACGAAGGCTCAGAGAGTTTACCTCTTCGTGTTTATCCAGCCAATGGAAGCAGACTGGGATTCAAACCCTGGGCTGTCTGCCTCCAGAACTCCCTGCACCCCACTGCCTGTGTTGAAGTAGTAATAAAGACTGCCTGTGGTTTTCAGACAAAGCCTATCCAACTTAAGACCAGACTTGGCATAGGCATCTGTAAATGAACGTGACTTATGCTCATTTTTAACAAGGAAATCTTTTTGTTCTCAGTGGGATTCAGTACAAATTTGTATCATTTTAACTGAAGTGCAAGGTCTGTATTCTTTATAACTCTGGCATCTTTACACAAGAGGAACAAGACTGTTTCAAACTGATTACACTCTTACTAACCGTTGGACCTTTTGTTTTTGTCACAATCTCTGTCCTAAATAGGAATAATGGGCAGCAAACTAGATTACTGTGGAGGACTGTCTGCCCTTGTAGCCATTTTGAGTGGACAGGCACTATATTCCAGAGAATACTAGATGCCAGGGATGTTATTAAGTGTTGCCTTAAGGAAAAAGAAACCAACATGTTCTATGGTCAGATGAGAGTGAGAATTGCTGGGTCATGTTCAAGGTTTTTATTTCTTACAGATTTCCAAGAGGCAGATTAATAATTAACTTTTCTCTAGCTTTTCTGCACATGGAGCCCTTTTTCTTTTTTGGAATTTAATTTAGAACCGGTGTGTTGTGGAACATACTTAGGCTACTTCCTTCTGTTCTTGAGCTTTCCCGATAGGGGAAAGGATGTCCCATGTTGCGGATTTACTTCGGTTTCAAGCTTTTCCCTGAAAGCAAGTGGTATCTCTGTCTTACGTTGTCACAGAGCTGAGTTAACACCCTTCCCTCATGTCTTGGGCCATAATTCCCTAACACAATTTTTCAGACATAGGAAAGGAGCAGCTTCCAAGGAACAGTTTGTCCCCAGGCTGGAAGGTGAAGCTCTAAACTATGGTTTACCTCCTCTGTCAGTGTACGGGCCAAGCACAGTGGCATGTTTCCAACATCATTCTTTCCTGAAAGATCCCTTGGAAAAAACTTACCTGAAATGGAAATGATATGCAGAAATATGAAGTACAGATTTTGTGCTGCATTTCTTGGAAATTTTGGCTCTGATAAACAGACCTGACAATGTCCCATTCCCGAGGGTACTCTTTTGCCAGGGGTTCTGTTTATTGTGAAAATGCTGCCTTTCTGTTCTCAGAGTGGTCTGATGGGGGTTGTTATACACTCATTATGGGCTGATAATTCACAACCAGTAAGAGCTATGTCAGAATAGGCTGCGGCTCAAAAAAAAAAAATCTCATTTCACAAATAAAGAGCAAAAACCCTTTTCTGAAAATGGGTCTGAAAATGAGGCACCCTCACATTCACTTCTCTGGGGATAATCAGGCACACTGGTGATTTCCTTTGTTGCTCACAGCCAAGGCTTTCTCGGCCAGAATTAAAGTGTGGAACAGCCAAAGGTGGTCTAGGCTGGCACCAAGAAGTTGTAAGAATGTTTCACTTGATAGGTGACTTCAGTCTTAGGCAGTTTCTCGCCTCAGCTTTTGGACCATGTGGGATTTTGTAGCAGGGAATTGGCCAAGATTGCCATTTAGGGCTCAGCTGAGCACAAGCACGGGGCTCATGGGCCCCGAGGAAACACGGAAAATCAACCTAACATAGTCTGTTTTCTATTTGGAAGTTCAAACTGGAAACCGGATGGAAGATGTGTCGAGAAGACTAACAGCTGAGAGAAAGGATATAGATGATCTTAAGAAACTTAACAGCCTGATCGTAAAGCGACTCAACCAACTGGAGTCTGAACAAAACTGAAGAAATGATCTTCTCAGAGCGACTGCTGTCACCTGAGCTTCCCACTCTCCTGGGCGTCTACAGACTTAAGAACTGAATCAGTGTGTTTTTACAGGCAACAAGTTGCTGGAGAATGGAACCTGTCCAGGGGGCCAATTTTCTGCTACCGTAATGGGAGCAAGTGTAAGGCAAGGGGCTCAGGGGACAGCAACCAGAAAGGGGTCCATTTCCTGGTAAGGGCCTTCAGCATAATGGGGTTCAGGGAACTGACATGGAGGAGAACCCACAGTCAGCAAGAGAATTCAGCTCTGTACCTGCAGTTCCACTTATAGGGGGAGATTTGTCGCCAGCATAAAATCATTTTGCCAATGGGGTAGAGGGAGCCTAATGCATCTTTACAGACTTCTGGGAAAGCCTAAGGAATGTGTTCAATTATTTGTGTTCCGGGGAACCAGGTAATAATTCTTTTCAATAAAAGAGGATCGACTCAGGTGACTGAACTTGGATTCTTATTTCTTCCAGGGACAGGATATGGGCAGACCTCAGAGGTAGTTGCCTGCTTGGATTTGCTAATTATGTGTGTAGGGTGGGGTGGGTGAGGCTCAAAATTTGTTCCACTAATATTTGTTGAGCTCATTCTTGTGTAAACCATTGCACTCTAGAGGAGCTTACATTCAAGGGGGGAATAAAGATGTATAGTTGTACATACTTATGGAAGCTTTGTTTATTTCTCGTGAAAAGAAAAAATCCTCAGTAGCCCACTGACTAATTTTGAAGAATTCTGATAGTTTTGTGTATCTACTAAAATACTGTAGGATTTTATATATTTGGAATCTGCCCTCTTTTAGCAGATATGGTATGATATAAATGAGCTTAAAAAGGGCACGATTCTTAGAAAATCTTTTATTTAATATATTTGCAAGAATATTGAATAATATATTGGGACTCTCATTTTATGTCAAAATGTGATCAGCAACATGTGGGATTACCTGATAATTAAATACACATAAACACGAACGCATGCATGTGCACACATATTTAATGATTCAATAATTAATGAAATAAATACATTTTACTTATCCATATTTTCATGCAAAAATGTACTGCATAATCATTTTCTTGAAATTGATATGCAGAATATTAAAAAAATCTGAAATTTGTGTTCGCTGGAAAATGACTTATTGATTTGATGTGACAAAATAATTATCAGGATTTGTTGTACCATCATTTCAGAAACTACAAAGGAGCTGATACAAGCCTTTTTTAAAACACCATTTCTTTCCTTGAATCTGTTCTTGTTAGGCTTATTCCCCCCACCCCACCCTTTCTACCTACAGAATGCATATATTTCCTGCTTAGTAATCTTGCCTTTTTTCCAAGAAACATGTGATTTTTACAACATGAAGTCATGCTGAAAAATCATTTCAGCCATCTTGGAGTCATCGTTTTGGATCTCCGCTGTCCTGCCTGAACGGCAGAGGCAGCTGGGTGTCCTCTCTGCTGCTGGCATTTGAATTCATGGGTTTACAACTTCCATTGACCCTGTTTTAAAAATATTGACTGGCTACATGTTGTCTTTGTTTTTTTCCACAGGGTATTTAAATTTGCTATAAAGACTGTTGTTGGAACAACTGAAATAATCTGAATTAGGTCTATAGACTAGATAATAGTGTTATGAATGTTAACTTTCTGATTTTAATAACTATCATAGTTACATGAGAAAATATACATGGAAGCACTAAAGGATAAAGAAATATTGTGTCTTCAGTTTCAAAATGGCTTCAGGAAAAGAAAATGTGTTTCTTCAGGAATAGAAAATCAAGCTACTATGCTAAATGGTAACATTTGGAGAGATTTTTATAGCATTTTATACTTTTAAAAACAGCCTTATTGAGATGTCATTGACATAAATTTGTATATAAGTAAGCTATATAACTATAAACTAAATGCTAAACTGAAACATTTTTTAAAAAGGATATATTTACACATTTCCTGATAAAGATATTTACATATCAAATGAGCACCATAATTAAGCTAATTAATATATCCATCAATTCTTTATATCAGTAGTTACCATTTGTATGTGTGTGTGGTGGGGTTGGGGTGAGAAGACTGAAAATCTATCCCCATGGCAAATTTCAGTTCTACAATACTATCATTAACTGTTGTTTTCCATGCTGGACATTAGATCTCCAAAACTACACATTTTGCTTAACTGAAACTTTGTACCTTCTACATGTACTCTCAGGGCAAATATGGTAGGTGAGACATGGACTTGGGAACACAACTTCCTCGTATGAATCCTGTTGTCCTCACTTACTGTAATTTTGGGGATATTTACCTCTTTTTATTCCTTATCAGTAAAATAGGATAATTACAAAAACTATTTTTTAGTATTGTTAGGAGGCTTAAAAGATGAAAAAGGACTTAAAAGCTGTCTGAAACAAAGTATTCAATAAATGCTAGTTATTAATATACTTACTAATGTTAAAAGTAGTAAGGGTGGGAGAAGAAAAACAACCCATTACATTTAAACCTCTACTGGTGGGAACCTAGGGCCTATTTATTTATTTATTTATTGCTGCATTTCTAGAACCATAGATAGCATCCTGGTTTCATCTGACCAGGGATAATGGGGTGAGCGACTTTTAGCAAAAGAACTTCTGCTATGTAACATGAGGTGATCTATGTAAGTGAAAAGATTTGTTGTTTTCCATAAATTCTAATCTACCTGAGATGGAGCTGGAAATCTCTCTTGGACTAACGTGGGGCAAAAGAGAACAAAATAGAAGGGACTGCCAAACTGAGACGTTTCCTCATAAGGAAGAGAAAATGGTCTTTGTGTATGTTCACAAGAGGCTCAGGAGAGAGAGGGAGATACTATCTTTATTTTCATTTATTTATTTTTTTGTGGGACCCTCGCCGGTGGCGGCCGGGAACCGAACCGGTGCTGCAGAGGCTGCGGGCAGCCTCGCACCCCTGCGTTCAACCGCTGCGCCACCAGGGGAGGCCCAGGGAGATACTATTTTCTGGCGATGGGCTTGCTTGCCTGCCCTCTGACATTACCAGCCATAACGGAATGATTTTGTGTGTTTTCTGACCCGAAGCCGGAGGCCGTGCACTTTTTGTTCCACCACGGAAGGGGCTTCCTACAGCTCCTCAAATTGTTCTGCCTTGGCAACCACCTACAGGTGCGCTGCACCTCGCGCTGCCCACTCCGCTCAGGGCCACGTGGAAGCTGCTGGGCTGCGTGGAGCAGCCTGAGACTGCGTCTCGGCTTCTCAGGGTGACTAGCTTCAGTTTTGGGGACTGGGGGTGCTCGTGTCTCTGGAAGAGACCAGGGCCCATCTGGCCAAGTGTGGGGCGAGTGAAAAAACAGTTTTCTCAGAGTATCTCAGGCAGTTTTTCGCCGTGACCGTCCCGCACAGACGGCCTAGCAGATCCCGCGCGGCCTGGGCGTTCGCAGGTGCGGCGAGCAGTAAACAGGGGCCCTTGCCGCGCAGCTCGCATGCGCGAAACACACCTGGCAACGGCCCTCATTTCGCCCCGTGCTGGCTTTATCTCTAAATCACTCTAAGCTTATAGGGCTTTTCAGAGGGGGTCACTGCTCCAGCCGGGGCCCAGGGGGGCCGTGTGGGGAGCCGGGGGGTGTTGTCGCGGGCCCCCGTTGCTGCTGCTGCTGCGGGATGAGGAGTCGGGAGAGCCCAACAGGGCCTGAGGACCCTGCCACCGCCGGGGGGGCCGGGCCTACGCCGCCTGAGCCATTGGGGAGTTGGGGTGTGCCCCCTCCAGGCCAGCCGGATGGACAATGCTGGTGCTACCAGGGTGTCTCCTGTGGCTGTGACAAAACGTGCTCCTGGCCCTGCACAGGGGCTTCCAGACCTGTTTTCTCGTCTGCTGCTATCAAGAACCCGGCAAGCTTGTGGCTGAGGCTTCACACCAAGAGGCCAGGGACCACCCATCCCCAAGGCTCTTGGGTAAGAATCCAACAAATTAGGCGTTAAAATAACGTAAGCAGTTGCTATTTTACTTTATTTTGTTATCTTATTTGCTACTAGGAGCCTGTGGAGGAGGGAAGAATTTTGTCTGCATGTCAGTTGGACTAACAAGTGTCTTTTTTTTTTTTTTTAAGATTTATTTTATGCATATATGTAGAGTCAGGACTGGACACGGTGCAGGTTTTCTGATCCCATGCAGACCGGGTAAAGGAGGAGTCAGAGTCCTCAGTAGTTTTGCAGGTTTTTTATTGGGGTTCACCAGGCATATGGCAGGCAGGGGTGCTGGCTGGGAGGCTGGCCGGCCTCCCAGCCCCCAGCAAGTCTTCACTCTATCTGGGCTCTCTAGCGTTCTCTGCTTCTGCTTCACTTCTACTGCTGCTGCTGGCGTCCCCCCATGATGCCGCCCTTAAAAAGCACAGTCTTAGCTCAGCTGAATCCCATCTACCTATGCCCACACCCTATTTCAGGTGCCCGCCATCAGGCATGCATTCAGGACAAGGATCCATCATCTATCCTGATGGCGGAAGGGCAGAAAAGCCTGATATTTTCTTTACCCTACAATACAAAAGCTGGGGCACAGGCCAGAGATGGGGGGCGGGGTGAGAGGACCCACCAGAGACACAGTGGGGAACAGAACAGGCAGATTGACTGAAATACACTGCTGAGGGGAGCAGCCGGCGAGGCAGGAGAGGTCTGCCACACCATGTGGGCTGCTCCCTGGCTGGCAGGCTGGGGAATTGAACTAGTGCTGCAGAGCCTGCGGAAGCTTCATAGGTTGCGTCTTAACCCCTTGTGCCACCAGGGAGGCCCTGGATTAACAAGTGTCTTTGAAAAGATTACGGAAGCCATTGTGTTATGACCTGTTTTTATTGCTTACAAAGTTAATTTTAATGGAAACAAAAATCTCTGAGTCACAGTGTGTGAAATAATTTTATTTCAGTTTAAAATAATGACCCTATTTATATTCAGTAGAGGATGAGCAAAAGAAATAGATCATCAGGTGAAAAAAAACAAACAAAAAACAGCTGGTAATCTGGCCCCTCTGTGAATGAGTTTAACCCAAAGAAACTGTGAAAAGAACAAACAGCTTTAGAACAGTGAGCCATTTTTCCACAGAGTCGGGAAATGTAATTTTTTTTTTTTAAAGTACAAAGGTGAAAATATTCTTACCAGAACCCGTGTGGCCACTTAATCTTACTTGGTGAAGATTAAAGCTTCTTGGTATTTTTTTTATTTGACAGGGAAAAGATTATTGAAATATTATTCTACTTTTTATGAAGATAAAAAGCTTTAAAAATTGATGAAAAGGCAATTCAAAACAAACTTAATTCCATGTAATAAGTGGGAATTGAGGGTATATGCTGTGCCCCGCGTGGGGGAGGTGGGGCTGACACCTTCAGAGCCAGGAGGAGGCTGAGACACGGTCCTGGCTCCAAACGTGTCATGCATATTAGATGGCATCAGAACGGATAATAACCTGTAACCTTACAGGACACAGCCGTTCTCCGGTGTGCCCTTTCCAGGATCACCTGGGAGGCTCAAAACAAACAAAAATAATCTGCCAGGTTCTTAGACCCTGTTCAGGGACTCTGACTTAGGGATGGGACTGGGAGCTCCTGTTTTCACAGGCTGCTGTGATGAGTCTGATGATGAGTGTGGTAAGTTAGCTAGATGGAGAATGGATTTGGAGTAATCTGGCTTTGGATTCTGGTTCTGTGCTTGAGTAACATGGTGGCCCTGAGCTTGTTTTGAACCTCCCTGACTTTTTCAGGATTTCCTTTGTAACATGGCAAACTGTTGCTGCTGGTGAGAACAGCGAAGTTGATAGAAAGTTCTTCAGGCTGTTTTGCTTATAGGTCACAAATAATAAATATTAAAGGGAGACCACCTGATCATTTGTGAATATTACATTAATCCATAGGGAATAGTAATAAGCTTTTGTCAAAGGTCCCATAAGTATCTTCAGAAGAACATGTCTCTGTTTCATCCCTTCCTGTTCTTTCTCTCCATCTCCCCCACCCTACTCCAACTCCATGTCCACCTTTTCAACTGCAAATGGCTTAGGATCCTATTTAAGGGTCAATGAAGGCTATTCTGATAGTAGAAGGTGTGAGAATATGGGAATCCCAAAGGGCAAGAAAACTGAGCAGAAGCTCAGTTTTGTTTCACTCCCTGCCCCAGAAGAACTGGGAGGAATTAGTTTTTAATAGAAGATGGAGGGCCTACTGGGAAAATGAGACATGCAGACCTGGCCAGGCTGACAGACTGTCTAGCTGCTTCATGAACATTGAAAAGTTTGAGTCTTTGATCTTGATCTCAAGACACAGGTGACTCAGATCTTAGTTTTTTTTCTTTGAAAATGTAATGCTGCTGGGGCCCTGTCTGCATGTTAGAATTGTTAGGGGGAAAAGGATGTCCTAAAGCTAATTTCATATAGACTTTGTGGACTCCACCCCCACTCCAGACCAAAGCCAGCAGGACATTGGGAAAGACAAATCCCATCACCACCAAAGGGAAGGTTGCTGGGACCTGAGGGTGGGGTTAAGCAGCCAGGTTTGGTATAAAACCAGACACGTGGGCTTTGGGTGCGTGTGTGTGTGTGTGTGTGGGGGGGGGGTTCCCTTTTTGGCTTTCCGCCAGCTCTCTGCCAGCTCTCGGAGTGCCAATGGGTTTCCAGGTCAGCAGATGGGGTAGGATGCATTAAAGACTTTATTTTCCTATTTTCTCCCTGAGTTGTACATTTCCTCATTTCCCCTTCCCTTGTAAATAAACCTTTTATTAACCTTTTGTGTGTGCCTGTAGTGGAGTATAAATAAGTCCCTTTTAAGCGCACGGGTGAGGACCCACAGCCAGGTAACCTTTTTATATCGGGGCTGCTCTGTAACAGGATCATCCCTGCTCTTGCTCCACCCTTGCCTGTTATAACAAAATTCACCTAGTTTTGATTTTGAATGGGAACCTCTTGTCTTGAACATTTTCATCTTAAGACATAAGACCTTTGACAAAATATTGACATTTCCCAGGGATGGGTCAGATGTCCCTCCTTTTTAATATAAGTGACTCAAAAGCTTATGTGACATAAAAACAAGTCTATTCTTCAGAGGTGGCTGGATTAAAAAAAAAACAAAACTGCCAAAATATTCCATCAGCTGAAACCAATAACAGTCATGGGCTATGAAGCAAAGCAAATGGTTAATTCACTCCTGAGCTTCTGAGTTGCAAAACAAACAGTTGAAATGAGCAGTGACCCTGTACTTGCATGATGTAGTGAAGCTCTTGAATCCGTGAGGTTAAAATCTGTCTTAAATTTAGTTGAGTTTTCTGTTTTTGCAAGGGTCTATGTGAACAAAGCTTGTGTTGCTCCTGAACTTCCCTCACCACCCAAGAGAAATGAGTGAACCTGTAGGAAGTAACATAAGTGGTCAGAAATTCAGGGAAGCTCTTTTGTTTCATTTCTTCTTTCTTTTCTGAAGGGAAAAAGAGATCTTGCAAATAAATACCTAGGAATTTTTCTATAGACATTGGTTTTACAGGCCAGAAATAGGATGTGAAGGTGATTGAGGGCAGAGAAAGCAGCTATGGTGTGAAACACACCCTACCTGTAAGTCCTTTGAAGTCTTAGCAGATGGAGGAAGATACTTCAAGTTTCCTGGGTGGATGAAGAGTGAATTGGCTGTGAGAAAGGAAGTCATGATCCTCCCTTTTCTTTGTTTCTTAGCTCCCTCTGATTTTCATGTCCTTTTTTAAATTTTTAAGCATAAATTATTATTCTTGCATAAATCCTTAAAGAAGGATTGTAACAAGTTTAGTCCATCAGGAAGACTCTTTTTGAATGTGTTATAATGGTGCCACAGAGCATTTACTGTCAAACAAAAGGAGCAGGCCAAGCAACTGAAAAAAGTTAAAAATTTAATTATGGCTTCTCAAATGCTGAAAATGCCTAATGTTCTATGCCCCAAAATGATTTTAAATATCACCATAGCCTAAGTTAGAATCCTTCTCTCCATTTGCTCTCCTGACCCCAACAACCTAGGAAACATGGATGAATTAGGCTCATCTTCTGAATTATTATAAATTCACTTAAGTGCTCAAAAACAGTTTCTTATAGACTCAGAAAAAAATGATAGAAACAACAGTAGGTAACCTTTGAGATAGAATCTAGATCTTGTAAAAACCTTCATTCGGTATAGATGATAGAAAACCAAGGTTTTTCCATATTTCTCACAGACCTCACAAAGAAGTCTTTGATCCTCCCTCTACCCCTCTCTACCTCGCTGACCCCTCCCCCCCAACTGATGTAATCCACTTCTCTGAGCTTAGAACTACATTTGAACCGTGCAGACTTTGCCTTGTAATTGTGTACTTGTGTTGCGCCCTTCATATGACTTTCTCCTCTGGGCATCCTCAGGGTGTAGTACACTGCTCAATAATGTGAATTTGTGTAATTGAATTAAGCCATGAAGTGTTTCCAGGCTGCCTGCCTGGCCTCCAATATGCAATTAGAACAAAGTGGTGCTCACGAATAGGAGAGGAGGGACACCTGGTGGCAGCTGGTTATTTCAGGGGAAGGAGGTCAATTTGAAAGGAAGGAAAAAGGCAAAGAGCATAGAGAGAGAAAGTGAATTGTTGCATCAGACATGGAACAATTGGGGGCTACATCTGGGGAACGTGACCACCAGGTTAGAAGGCCACCCAGATGGTGGTGAAGACTGAACTTGGCAGTTGAATCTGGTGCTGCTGCTCACAAACTGTATCAATTTAGCTTTGTTATTTATCTTTTCTGAGCTATGGTCATTTCACCTGTAAAATGGGGATAACACCTACCTTTACAGATAGCTGTTACCTGCGAGGACTGAACAAAATGATGCCTAGCATTTGGTTAATGAGACTGGCTATTTTGTTATTGAAATAAGGTTGAGAATAAATGTGAAGCCACAGACTGGTTTTCCACAGGTTCTAGTGAGGTAGTTCTTTAGAAT